TTTTCTTTGGCCTGCTTTTCTTTGGCTTAATTTTCTTTGTCCTTTTCTTTGGCTTAATTTTCTTTGGCCTGCTTTTCTTCGGCTTAATTTCCTTTGGCCTTTTCTTTGGCCTGCTTTGGCCATAGCTGATGCTGCTAAATTATTAATAAAAGAAACAATAATACCAACACATTCAGATAGATTAATATCATTTATTAGTCCTATAACAAGTTTAATATCTGCTTCATTATGTTGAACTGTTATACCTTTTGGTCCAGGAATAACAATAACAGATCATGAATATTAGAAGAGATATTCAAGGTTGCTTTGATAACATAGATCCTAATTGCTTAATCAATAATGTACCTATGCCTGAAAGATTTAAAAAATTTATAAATACTATTTATTTCTAACTTTTAGCTTTCAGCCTAAGGATATAATATAGTTCTTGATTTTAAGTTAATCATGAAATACATTTGATTCATTCATTAGAATGGCGGTTAACTGAGTTCTCTTTGTAATGTTTATAATCTTAAAGGATGATTCCCTTTCAATTAAGGTCTTAGTTACGTACATTCTGAGTTTATATTTTAACAAATATATATAAGGAAGGAAAAGTAAGTTAAGAATAACTCACAAAGGAATAGCTAACAGTTAAAAATAAAGTATTAGATTAAACTATAAGTATTTAATAATCATTCTTTAGGTAATTCATTTATCAACTATTTTATTTAAACTCAGTAAGTCTCCTTTATTATTTTCAATCTTACTCCTGCTTTTCTTTGTCCTGCTTGGCTTTCCCATTGAATCCCCGTGAGTCTGTCTTGGCCAACTCATGTCGGACGACCCGGGCTTCCAGGGCCAAGGACGAGGATTTTGCACCCATTGATACTGCACCGGGGCCATGGCGGGAGGCCCACCAAATAGACAATCCGCCCGTTTTCCTTCCCACCGCCCTTTCAGCTTCACGGACTTTGCTTTTCTCTGGAACCCCGCTTTTGCACGGACAATCTAGTGCTACCGAGAGTCGTATACTAAAGAACCTGGTACGAGAAAACCGCGCCGCAGTGCGTCGTCTCTAATACATATGCAAATACCAGCAGGAATAATCACACGACACGTACCCACAGTTTATACAAATCACTGGGTATTCACCGCCGCCCCTGGCTACTCGCCGTCCCTGTTTTCTTTAAAAGTCACCTTTTTTTTCCGTGGGGCGCTTTGAACCAAAGGCATTTCACTACATCAGGGTGCTTTAACTAAAGGCATGGCCCAGGGTCGAGGACTAAATCAGAGGGCGTGTCTAACTAACGGCCCTTTTGGTTCAAATCTATGTGTCTGTATATAAGTCGGATTCATCACGTTTATGTTATTTATTACCCTTTAGCCCATATCAATATTTCACTATTCCTCAATCAGAAGAAAGATACAGAATATTCTTTATATTAAATCTCGTCAAATCATGGCCCTGTATTGAGGCATATCCCAGCTTCATCCCGTTTACATCAGCTATCACCCTTAGAACCATATCACTATTTTACCATCAGTCAATCAGAATAAAGATATTTTTATAAACTGGGACGTATGTCAGATCCATTAAATCCATATTGTTTACACCCTTTAGCCCCATGTCAATATTTTACAATTACTAATATAAATATAAATTAGAACATCATTTACACCCTTCAGATCCATGGCCCTGTACTTGGACATATCTCAGCTTCCTCCTATTAATATCAGTTATCACCCTTTGAAACCCTATTAATGTTTTTACTATTATGCGGTAAGACTGATGGAGAACATCTCAAATTGGATCTCTTCATATCCATGGCCCTATACGTGGACATATCTCAGCTTCATCCCATTTACATCAGTTATCACCCTTTAGGACCATGTCAATATTTCGCTATTACTCAATAAGAATATAAGTTTTGTCAAATCCATTACATGCATCTTGTTTACATCCTTTTATAACCATATCAATAATTTACCATCACTCAATCAGAATAAAGATTTTTTTCATATTAAATCTCGTCAGATCATGGCCCTACGTTGGCTGCGGCCCGGGCGCGCGGGCCTCACTGGACCAAGCGATTCTCCCCCACCAATATAAATAATACCCAATAATATAAATAATATCCCACAGCCCCAGCAACTTTGCAAGAACCCAAATTCCACAAACTCACATATCTACACACGTGCAAAATATTCCCGGCACCAAAAAATGCCAGCACCCGCCGTTTCTTCTCCTGGCGCCCGCCCTGTTCCTATTTCTATCCTCGCCCTCGCCCTGATCGGCCCTCGCCCTAGAGGGCCTCTGGCCCCGGTCCACATACACACCTCGCAACTCACGCCAACCACGTCTTCTTCTTCACCACCCAAAATGGTACGCATGACTGCCGCGGATCCGTCCAAACGCCCGCAGAATATACTAACCTCTAGTCGGCGCTCTTCAATTTCCAGTCGTTGCTTCTCGTCATCCTCTTGGCGATCTGCACCTGTACATACGTCCATGCCACCTGGCCCGCCTTGCTAGACAAAAACAAGAGCGGGGCGCTTGGCGTGTTTTGGAAGTTTGCCCGTATCGGCGAGCGGCTCAGCCCGTACGTGGCGTTGGGGTGTTTTGTGATGGCCTTCAATGTCTTGAGCGCATGAGTGTGCGGCTGCTGGAGACCTCGATTATGTAGTAATGAACAATGTTGTGAGGCCGTTTTCCACCGCTGCCTGGTTCTTCTCTGTTGGCTGTTGAGTAGCCGACTGTTTACTCAAATGGTTCACTTGACTGTGTGAGGAATGCTGGGTTTAGGATCATGAATGGGTCAAATCTGGTGGGATTCTAGCTGAAGAGCTCACCAGAACACACCACCTAAGAGACACGCCGGAACACAGCACATTGATGTATTGTATTGAGGCTTACTGATCGAGAACATGTTGCACTGTGGCTTACTGAAACACAGCTTAGGCATGGGAATACCTCGCTCAAGACAGCTATTAGTCATTATCACTTCACTGAATGGTGCCCATTGTCATACTTCACTGAATACAGCTAGTAACCATGGTTATACCTCACTGAATACAGCTCATTAGGCATTGTCATACTTCACTCAATACAGCTATTAGCCATGATTATACCTCACTGAATACAGCCCATTAGGCATTGTCATACTTCACTGAATACAGCTATTAGCCATGATTATACCTCACTAAATACAGCCCATTAGGCATTGTCATACTTCACTCAATACAGCTAGTAGCCATGATTATACCTCACTGAATACAGCCCACTAGGCATTGCCATACCTTACTGAATACAGCTAGTAGCCATTATCATGCCTCACTGAATACAGCTATTAGCCGTACCTTAGATACAGCTATCATCCAATATCCTCACTTAAACAGGCATTAGCCATTATCATGCGCCGCGAAAAAAGCACATTCACGGACCCGGGATCATGGCACGCCCTACACTCCCCACACGGCCCGCACCCCTACCGAAACTCGTAAAGCTCGTTCACAGCGTTGCAGAGAACAGGCGTGCGCTCGTTGCCCACGATCCGCTCCAACGCCGCCGCGTCCCACTTCGAGTAGAGCGTCTTCACAAAAGACAAGTCCACGTCCGCCTGGCCGTTGTATATGGACTTGCCCACGAAGCGCAAGAGCTCCTTGTAGAACTGCGGGTTCGCCGGGGCCTCGTACACCAACACGTTCTTGACGCCCGCAAGCTCGTAGCGGCGGAAGTGGTGCAATCTCTCCGTGTAGAGCAAAAGCTTGGTCTTGCCCGCCGCAAAGTGGTGGCGGGCCCGCGACACCTTGGGCCGCGACAGGTACTCGTCGATGGACGCAAAGTCGAGCTTGGTGTGGCGCTTCATGTGCGCCTTGACACGCACGTAGTCGAAGTACGACGGGATGTAGATGAGGAGCCCGTCCTCGTAGGACAGCTGCTTGGTGACCGCGGGGAGCACGGCGTTGACAAAGAACTTGAAGCGCGCGTCGTGGCTCGTCTGCGGGTCCGGCGCGTCGAAGCGCTGGAAGATCTGCTTGATCTTCAAGCCCACGGAGTTCATGATGCACGTCTGGGCCGTGACCACGGGGCGGAAGCGCGCCTTGCCCGCGAGGTTGGCGGAGCGCGAGAGCATGCTGTTGACGTTGGGCGTGAGGAACTCGCAGAACACAAGCGTCTGGCGCAAGTAGCGGGCCTGGTCGTTGATGGCCCACATGCGGATGCGCGAGAAGTCCGCGCCGTGGGAGTTCTTGGGGATTCGGTTGACGTACCTGAGCACCGTGGCCACGTGGTCCCAGTTCTGCATCTCGATCTGGTTGGCGTGGTCCACGACCAAGACCTCGATGGACGACAAGAAGTCGTACTCGCGCTTGGCCTGCTTGGGGTCCTCGAGGATCATGGACAAGCCGAGCGGCGACGCCACCAACACGTCCGCGTTGAAAAACGACGCGTAGAGCTTGACGGTCTTGCGCGTGAACTTGATGCCCACGCTGAAGAAGTCGCTGGAGTTGCCCTGGAACATGCGCCGGAAGTCCGCGGGCTTGGTCTCGGGCGGCATGCCGTCCTGGAAGAACTGCAGCTTGAACTTCCTGCGGTTCTCCTGCTGCTCCGCGCCGGAGAGCCGGATGAGCTGCTCCACCACCTCGTACGCGGCGTGGCGCGTGGGCAAGAGAATCAACGCCTTGGGCCGCGTGAAGCCCTGGTCGCGCAACTCCGGCTCCGCGGCGCCGGGCGCCAACGTGCCGTTCCGGAGCGCGTCGCCGTACGCGCGGAGCTTGTCGTTGTTCTTCAAGATCCGGTCACGCGTCTTGAACGTGTGGTTGAGCACGTGCGCGATGTAGAGCTTCTGGTACGCCGTGTTCGTGTGCAGCTGGCACGCGAAGCTGACGTCCCGGTACTCGAGCATGCGCCGGAGCACCGCCGCGTCGAGCGCCGTGAGCGCGTCGCCGTGCTGCGCCAAGTACCCGGCCCGCACCCTGTTTTTGACCGTGGCGAAGCTGCTGAACAGGCCGCCGCCGTCCACACGGCCGCTGCCGAGGGCGCCGCCGGGCGGCTCGTGCACCTGCGCCACGTACGCCGGGCTGCCGAACTCCGTGCGCTCGGCAAGCGGCCACTTGTGGCCGGCCGCGGCCTTGCTTTTGAGCTCGATGGCCGAGTCCGAGACCAGGTTGAAGTGCGCCTCGAACGGGTCGCAGGCAGGCGCGGCCCCGGGCGCGTCGTCCGCGTCGGAGGACGCGCCCGCGTCAGAGTCCGTGTCGGAGTCCGGGTCATCCGCGAGATTGGCGCCGGCATTGATGTCGTCGTCGGCACCCGGCGCCAGGGGCCGGTCCGTGCGCCGTTGCTCGGGGCTGCGGCGGCGGATCGGCGCCGTTTTTTGCTCCGCCGTCAAGAGCGTCAAGAGCGCGTCGTAGGCCTTGCCCTCCTGGAACTTGGGCGGCGCCGGGGCGGCGGTGGCGGGCGCCGCCAGCTCGTCTTCCAGCAGCGACGCGGGCTCCACGGCGTCTTCCGCGGCGGGCGCGGGCCGGCGGGCGGTGCGCGTCACGTGCCGGAGCTGCTGCCGCCCGTGGTTGGGCCGGTGCTTCTTGGCGCCGGCGCCGGGGTTTTTTGCGCGTGTGGCGGGGTGTTTTGGAGGTGCCATGGAGATGCCGTGGATGACTGGAGGGCCGGTGCGATGACTTTTCTGCGCGCAGGGCCGCGCTGCGCGTGGGGCCAAGCTGTGCCAGAGGCAGGCGCCGGTTCTGGGGCCGCGCTGGGGGAAGACGGCCTGGCCTCGGCCTTGGATGCGAAAAAGGGCGTTTTTTTTTTGGGCGGCGGCTTTTGGTTTTTTGGGCGGCTTTTGGCTTCTTGGGCGGCTCTTGATTTTTCGGGCGGCTCTTGTTTTTTGGGCGGCTCTTGTTTTTTTGGTTGCCGGGGGCGGGGTGCTTTGGGGCACGGGTAAGCTGTTTGGTGCTGTCTGCAGTGGGGCCGGGGCCAGGTGTGCTGGGGCCAGGTTGCGCGCGGGCGGCCTGGGTGGCTCTGTTCGGTGCTTGTTGTGTGTTTAGTTTTTCTGGGTGGATTCTGGGTATTTTGTCTTTTTCTGGGTGGTTTGTCTTTTTCTGGGTGGTTTGTCTTTTTCTGGGTGGTTTGTCTTTATTGGGTGGTTTGTCTTTATTGGGTGGTTTGTCTTTTTCTGGGTGGTTTGTCTTTTTCTGGGTGGTTTGTCTTCTTCTGGGCGGTTTGTCTTTTTCGTCTGTTTCGTCTATTTCGGGTGTTTCGTCTTATTAGTCTCTTTTATCTTGTCTTTTGGGTAGTTTCTCTTTTTGGTATTGTCTTGTCTTCTTTGCATTATTTGTCTGTTTCGTATGTTTTGTCTTGTCTTGTCTTATTTGTCTGTTTTGTCTTGCTTCTCTGTTTTGTCTTGCTTGTCTGTTTCGTCTGTTTCGTCTGTTTTGCGTGTTTCGTCTTATTTGTCTGTTTTGTCTTGTTTTGTCTTATTTGTCTGTTTTGTCTTGCTTCTCTGTTGTGTCTTGCTTGTCTGTTTCGTCTGTTTCGTCTGTTTTGCGTGTTTCGTCTTATTTGTCTGTTTTGTCTTGTTTTGTCTTATTCGACTGTTTTTTTCTGTTTCGCCTTCTTTGTCTTCTTTGTCTTCTTTGTCTTCTCTATCTTCTCTGTATTAAAGTCTCTTTTATCTTGTCTTTTGGGTGTTTTCTCTTTTTGGACTTTCAGGTAGTTTGTCTTGTTTGTCTTGTTTGTTTTGTTTGTCCTCTTTGCCTTCTTGGCCTTATTTGTTTGTTTTGTCTGTTTCTCTTGTCTTTCGGGTAGTTTGTCTTTCGGGTAGTTTGTCTTTTGGGTAGTTTGTCTTTTTTGTCTTGTCTTGCTTGTCTTGCGTCTTGTTTTCTGTTTTGCCTTGTTTTTCTTGTTTGAGACTTTACAAATCCGAATAAGCAAAGTTGTAGAAATATCAAGAAAAGCTTTCTTTTCACTTCTTCTTTATCTTCTTCTTCGCCTTTTCTCTGTCTTTTTCTTTTCATGTTTTCTTTATCTTTTTTGGTCTTCTCTTTTGCCTTCTTCTTTTCATGTTTTCTTCTTCGTCTTCCTCTTTTCATCTCCTCTTCTTCTTCCTCTTCTTTTCCTCTTTTAACAATAAGATCAAGCTTTGAGGGAAATGAGTACCAATTGACGAAACAAATCAGGTTGTCTTTGGAATGTCCGGCGCCAAGAACCTTAAGAAATTCCGTACCATTTCTTGGTGCTGCCAAATTGACACGAAATGGCCGAAATCATATAGTGGTATTTCACATGCCAACGGAATCTTGATAAACCCACATATATCCATTTTATGTCTTCTTCGTCTTCTCGGTCTTCCTTTTTTATGGTTTCTTCTTCGTTCTTCTCTGTTCTATTCTTCTCTCTTTTTGTCTTCTTTGTCATATTCTGTGTACGTCCCTGCCCTTTTGCCCTCTCGTTCTGAATCTTCTCCTTTGGATTGTTCGTCCTTGTTCGGTCCCTCGCCCCTCAAATCTCGAGCACCTACAGCCATCAATTCCTCTTTTTTCTTTTCTGTCCCCATCACATTCACCCATTGGCCCTTGCTGGCCTCTCGGCCCTCACTTATTCTATGTGGTTCTTTGTGACATGCGGCTTATCGTACAAGCCCGGATCAGCGTGCTTATAAGCGCATTGCATTCATGCAATTCTGTTGACTTCACCAGATACAATTCTGCTGATTTCCACCAGATAAAATTCTGTTGACTTCACCAAATACCCGAGCAGAAAAGCAGTTCTTGATTAGCCTTCTCCGTTTTGTCCACATGAACGTATTCATAAGGCGTTTCTCCAGATTAGTGATATTCAGGATGTAAACACCTATCGTCCGCGCGAAGCCCCCTAGTTCAACCGGTGAAGTATCTTAAATGTTAAGTTTGATATCACAGCTAACGAAAATAATATTCATTATACTGGCTTTCAGGTATAGAAGGTGGAACTTTTTTATAGGATAAGAGGTGTTTCAAACACAGACTTTACTTATGGTGCATCCTCTTTCATCAGTTGCAAGGGCACCTATGTGTATAGTCACATTGGCTGTTTATTTTACTCTCCTGACTACATGCGTTCTGGTCCAGCTCGTGGTTTTCATCTTGTCTTCCTTGTATAATCTTTATTTTTGGTTTCATCGATCAAAAGTTATACGATGAGAATTTGAAGGTGGAATCTCTTACTTATCCGTATCATTTTGTACCCGTACATCAACTAGAAAATCAGCATTGCTCAGTTTTATGGGTGGTGCTTTGTTTTAATAATTTTAGGTATGAATATGTATTTTTGTATCACTGTTGTTTCCTATACTATTCAATTTTTACCGCCTCGTACACGAATAGCACTTTAGTTTATTGGCTATCATATTATAATAAGCAGCTATGGATATTTACATATTTCCGTGTCTTATTAGCAATACCTAATCCTCTTTGTTCTTATCCTTTATAACCAACCCATTGAAATCCTTCTTAGGGGTACAAACTTCACTTTGAGATTGAAATTGATGACTATTTCCCGTTGGTGTTCAAATTGTTCGTTGCTTTCAAAATGCTTCAATAAAACAGCTGTAGACTTTGTGACCCAAAACTTGAAACTCTCTGAGAGACAGTGGTCACTTTGTGATTCGTTTACTTTGGATAATTATTGCTCAGCCAATTAATACTGCCAAAAGACCTCAAATAAAACTCGCTGAAGTTGATATGTATAGTATACATAATAGACTGCAATGAATCAAGATGGGCTTAACAAAGTTTTAATCACCTAGCTCTTCAATGGAATTTGGATGCTTTATATCCCCAAATATAGTACACATTCAAAACACCAGTTGTGTTTTATTCCTCAACTGTGATATGATTTTAAACACAAACTACGCGTTAGTGGCGACAAGATGCTGACCACACTCCTTGAAAGGTATAACTAATATCAGCGTCATAAATGAGGGCCCATTATATAAAAGTATCTTAAATCATATCAGTTCAGAATTAGTCTCAAGTGATGTTTAGATTTGATAGATAATTAATTTACCTGAAGTTTATGGTACCAGGTCCATACATCCATGTACTTAAACAATTTGAAGGGCATTTCACATCTTCCTTCACAATCTAGGGCGATTGCACAAGCACCTTCTTAAAAACTTGGATATTGATCACTTGTAGCTTTAATAGACTGTCGGAAAAGAACTACCTATCTTTGTTTTATGGTTGAGAGTCTTTGGGAATAGTACCCTCAGCTGTTGAGGAAACAAGAGAGCCTCAAATTAATGTTGAGTCAAAATGTAACGTTCTGGAAAACAGCGACAAACAAAATGCAAACAAAGTTTAAACATGCTGTGGTTCAGCTGTCTGCCGAAGCATCCCAAAGCAGTTTTTTATTCGCATAATGACAGTTCACAACTCAGAGTTGGAACTTCCGCTTAATTGATCTTCACAAGACATGAAGCCTACACTCAAGAGATATGAAATACTCTAATTTTGAAAAAAAGAGTCGAGTAATGAAATTATTTTACACTGGTGTCAAAAATTTATCTTGGAAGTTATTTCACAGCAAATACTTCTAGTGAAATACAGAGCTACATATCAGCACTATGTAAGATCTCACAGGCACAAGTCTAACTATGATATTCAAATAATTCTATGGTGGTAGGCCATATCACCGTCAGCAAACACACTCTCTTGTATGCTATAATATATGTGGCACAAACTCCGTCCCTAATTCACTCGCTAACAAAATTACAGACTCAATCAAACAATCTCAACTGTGAGACTTCGGGAGCAGAACTGCAAGGCATTTGTCTATTTCAAGAGCTTTTAGCTTCTTTAATTTGGGGAGCAAGAAATAGGTGAAGAGGCTTTAATCAAAACCTCCTCCTACGGACAAAGTGATTGACTCGAACTCATACTCAACTATGAGGCAAATGCGCTAATTTCAGTTAAAGTCATCAGTACGAGTTGTAAGTCTGTTTATAAAGGATGTATCCAATAGGTAGCAGAGTTTCTTTAACTGGGAATGAGCAGAAAACATACACAACAAACCAGGGCAGCAGTTTGGATAGTGATCTTGGCACCAGAGCTCTTTCCATAAACTCCCGCCCCTCCACATAATCCAAATTAATATGTGTGGGGCTCAACATATGTGGAAAAAAGTCTGATCCGGCATTTTGAGCATGCTAAGATTCCTTTCACCTTTTTTCCGAACGAGTAAATGTTCTTAATCCTGATGGACACAAAAGTGACAATCAATTACCAACAGAATGGGGCAGACTTTAACAGATGTCACATAGCTATAATGTCAGTCCCGACCCGAAGACTGGCTCATTCATGCCGTAGTCTAAAGGAATTCCTATTCACAAAGAAAAAGGCTGGAGCAAAAGACATATTATGTCAATCGCTCAAGTAAGCAGCTCACGAATAGTAATTACATCGAGATGGGAATTTTTCCGTGATGACCACAAAGACAGAATCTCAAGCAAAAGAAACCTTCGTGCTTTGGATCTTACATAGATGCTGCGGGTTTATATACCTCGCGTACGATTTCAGTCACTGAAACAAAAGAAACCCACACGAGCATGTCACTTTCGTCCAGAGAGAAAATTGCACGTTTATGAATGTAGGCAAAACAGATACGGCTCATATGCACCTATCTGCTCAACGATACTTTTCTATTGTGAATCATGTTTCTCGGCTAATTTTATACGTATGCTTCGGATGCACTAAAGGACCTATGGAGCTGCGCGTTCACCGAGGATGAAAAATAATCAAGCCCATCTTACCGCTAGCCACCGCTAAACATGGAAGTTAAAAAGAAAAAAGTTCAATGTATTTTGGCGTGACTTTTTTGGAGAGGGATGTGAGTTTTCATGGGAATTTGTGGATATCCAATTTTTACAAAGGATACTTTCGTCACTAATTAATAGACATTTGCGCGAAACTCACTACTAAACACATACTATGAGCCACTCTTCATACCAAAAAGCTGTTCATGATTTCCTGTGCCTTACCTAAGGCCTCATTTATGAGCTAGATCCGTGAAACTAAAACTTCAAAAACAGACTCATGTGCTCGCCGTCTGGTAGCATATACCACCTGGCATTGGGGCAATTCATTATGTACCTCTAGGGATGTCCCCAAACCTGAAAACCCATAAGATAGACTTACAAAACACAGCCATGCTTTTGTAACAAATGAGGTGAGCCACAGTAAAGCACAGTAAGCCATTATGAGCCATAGTCAGCCGTAGTCAACCATAGTAAAGTACAGTAAACCATAGTAAACAATAGTAACCATAGTAAACAATAGTAACCCTAGTAAAATCATAGTATATCGTAGCCACCATAATATACCATAGTATTAGCAAGCCACAGCAGATGCAGTAAACCACAGCAAATGCAGTAAATTACAGCAAACCACAGCATTCAGGTGTCCCCATTATAACTGGATATCCGACCACGTGACGGACCTGGCCCTGGCCCACCATAGCTAGTGCGCGCCCTGCCTGCTCTGCCATCAGCGGCCATATTAACTAGTGGCTCTAATTTCTGCGGATGCTGCCCGCGAAAACCCGCTCTTTTTTCTGGACCAGTGACTTCTTATCCCCTGTAATTTCCTGCCCCCTTCTTTGCCTACTAGTTGCGACTTTCTTCCTCGTGCAACTTTTTTTTTCTCTACTCAGAATCACTTTTTATACAACCACGGCTCCCAATTGTCGCTTAACATTGTGATTTGCAAACGGCCTCCACATACACATCCCGGGACGCCACAACCTGGTATATTCAGTTGCCCACGCCCCTTCACAAAAAGCCAGCGGGTACTTGTCCCTCCGCATTTTCCCTCCGCACTTTTCCCTACACACTTTTTTCCTCTTTTTTCCCTACACACATTTTCTGCGCGGCCCGGCTCCTGTGATTTCCGCACAATCCAGAAAAAAAAAGAAAGACGTGTTCCATGCCCTCCACGTGATATGAGACAGATCAAACACTACATCAAGTCGGTGCTCTCATTCACGTACCTCGCGCTCGTGGTGCTTACGATCCCATTGGCCTTCGATGTGGGCGGCGTGCCCTGCGGCTTGGCGTACTCGCTCTTTATCATGCTGCTCCACTTCTTGCTCACCACAGTGCGGTTGTTGTCCCACAAGTTCCCGGTGTTGGCCGTGTTCAACGGCTTTTTCTACGCCCAGCATCTCTTGCTTCCGAGCATCTTGATGTTCTTCCTCCTGTACTGCGCAGAGAAAGACGTGGCAGAGGTGCCCGTCATCTTCCTCTGGCGATACCTCCTAGTGCACCTGACGCTTGTGTTCACTGTTGCAGAGGGTTTCTGCTCGCTCTTGTTGATCCAAGCCATCAGCCAGACCTTGGAATGGCTTACGGACTACAAGTCCGATAGCTGGCTCTTCGTGTCCCTCATTGGCAGCGGCACCACCATCACCGGTGCGCTTTACTTCTTGTACAGAATCTACATCAGCCCGTTCACCTTGGACTTGGGCAACGCTTCCTTGTTGGGCCTGTTCCTCACCTTGACTGTCGGCTTGGGCTTGTACGGGATTGTATCGAAGAAGGGCCTGATGATCGAGTCCTCCTTGATCTTCGCCTACATTGTTCGCTGCATCTACGAGACCTTCCCTCTGCTCTCCCAGGATGCCACGCAAACAATCACCTTCCTATTCACTCAGACCACAAACAACTTGAAGAAGGAGCTTGTGAAACTCCCATACCCAGTTGCCGAGAAGATCCTGTCTGCATTGCCCGTTTTTGCGTCCAACATCCCCCACTCCTTCACCACGATCTACAAGTTCTTCATCTCAGCGGTGCAGAAGTTGACTTTGCCTGTGTTGATTAACTTGGCCTACAGAATTGGCGTCTTTTATGCCGCGACGAAAATCATCCCGTCCGTGTACCACGGGCTCCCATACTCACCCCCAAGAACGCCGCAGATCCGCTCAAGGCAAGTCTCTTCGTCTTCAATACCCTCCATACACCTTGCCGACAAAGACTCTGAGGCTAGGAGAGATCTACTGCCCACCAGAGCAGCTCATCACCCGAAGCGAGATCCGCCATCTACAATCATCAAATTGATCTATGCATACTCCCCATGTATCATCATTGCCGTGTACACGCATTTGATGTTGCTGTACAAAGGTGAGCTCGGCAATGAACTTAAGCTCTGGGGCTGGTGGGCCGGCGCATCGGAGGACAGCGTGTTCACTGTGCATCCTTGGCAGTTCTGGAACTGGATCAACATGGCCACCACGCTATTTCTCTACATGGCCGAGTTGGCTGGTAACACGGGAAGCACCAATTCTGCCATGACCAGTCACTGGAAAGTTGACTGATGACTGAGTGATCTTTCGATAACACCGGATGGTTTTGAGGTGTCGAGTCTCGTGAAACCTCGTATACTTAATGACATCTTGCTGGCAAACAAGATAACTGTACTATAATCTAATACCTATTCAATTTGTACCAAACACAGAATACAATAACAAGACCAGAAAAAAACTATCCGAAAACTATTCAAGCGATATTATCGGGATTACAGCCGGTGAAAACTTCAGAAACGTTTGCAACTCTCGTCCACGAATGATAACCAGCCATCTTTCCAGACTGTGAAACCTTCTCGGAGCTTGACTCTATGTTTGCTTTGATATCTCATCATAGTAATCACTGGCGAATAGTCCAGACAATACATCCCAAATCGTGGCGGTAATTTTGACTGTCAACAGAGAAAAAAAATTAAAGCCCGGTACATTTGACTGCACACGTCCCTAATAAGAACAGCAAGCTTTTTCGAAAAGGGTGACGTCCAGAGACAAGAGTGAGCTCCATTGTGTTAGCCACCCGATACGGTGGCCGTTTGCTATAACTATCGTTTAGGATTCACAATCCCATTGCCGAAAGAAACCTCAATCCTCCATGAAGAACCAAGGGAACACAAAGTCAAGGAACCCCAAGCCCAACTGAATACGCCAAAGTCCCTTATGCAAAAAAACTCTTGTGCAGAATGTCTGCCAGGCATATTTTCAAAGCCCTCACTATGCCATTGACATGAAGCCAACAAGACCCAAAAGGGGTTAGCAGGAGAAGGGAGTTACAAGAAAACGGCCTGACGACTATCCAGCAAAAGACCTTCAGTGCAGAACTTAGACATACCCAGCGAGATGGGCCCCGACAGAGTGTGAACGGGTTTTAAATTCCGCTACGTTTCCGTTATCGCGGCCGGAGACTTTCCCCGAAGCAGTAGTGTCGAGACACTGCGGCACGGTGGCCACTTAGTCAGCTTCGTAAACAAACCTTTGTCTCTGAACGTGGGAAAAAAGGAAGCGAGAATCCAAAGGGCATCGAGAGTCTTATATAGTGGAAAATTCAGCAGGACGTGCATGAACCGATATCACGCGCGGCACATTTGATGAGGGCTGGCGAGGTTCAGGACGCCCAGCAGCGACCGATAAATGTCGCGTTCGTCCGGAAACAAAAGTATTCCGGACTCGATGTCTCCGTGGAAAATAGCGGCCATGGGCCGAAATAGCAATTGTAGCGCTGGCTGAAGCCGCAATGTGTGCTTTGCAACTGTAGGAGCAGGCCACCCCCTTCTCGATGAAACTGTAACGGCGGGAATATATGGCTGGTCTGGGTATCGTAGCGTTTCCCGAGAATTCTAGGGAACCGTGCATGAAGCGTTGTCGGAGCCTGTATCTGCAAGGACCAGTGCCATAGATGAGTAGGGTAGCGAAGCTCAACAAGACGAACCTTGCAGACTGACTCGCAGGGCATCTCATGCGTGGCAGGGACACGTCTGTCTCCCGGCAGGCCCGAGTATTTGATGCGGCGAGAAATGCTATCATTGTTTCTGGGACGGTGGTCTTGAGAATGGGCGTGTACTCTTCTATGTATTTCCAGGAGTCGGCGAATGCTCTCGGGAAAACATCTCTGTGAGCGCGCAGGAAGACTGCTGACGACCCCTGCCGGCGGCCAGGAAGACCGAGGCGCGTGTGAGGAGGGCCTTCGGGCACGCGCGCAGACACGGTGCTCCGGCTGCGCAGATGTCCCACCAGCCTCACGAAAACACTTCCATCAACGCCGTCGGAAGAAAGCTCGTGACGCGCTCGTAGGTGCGGGCGCCCGAGCCATAGTACACCACGGACGGGCCGGGGCGGGTCGCGAAGACCAAGTCGAACAAAAGATGGTGCAAGCCCCGGAGCCCGTCGGAGCCGATGGACGGGCCCATGGCGGTGGAGCCCGCCTGCGTCTTCAGGAACGGCGCGCCGTAGAGCGCCTGCATCTCCGGCGACCAGCTGCGCACCTCGGCGTCCACCACGGTGGGGCTCTGGGCGGCCTTGGCGGCGGGCAAGGCCCGCGTGCTGGAGAGATGCAAGTTGCCGAGGCGCACCTGTGTGACGGCGATGCCCTGCGGGCGGAGCTCCTTGGCCAACGTGGCAAAGAGGTCCTTGAGCGCGTTCTGGAACATGGCCTCCGCGCCGTGGTACGAGAGCCGGAGGCTGCTGACGATGGTCGGGACCACGGCGATGAGCTTCGCCTGCTGGCCGCGCACGAGGTCCACGAGCCCCAGCCCCAAGAGCCGCGGGTACACGGCCAAGCGCGCGAGCACCTTCTCCCAGGACGCCGAGGGCGTGTTTTCGAGCGGGCCCAACGGGAAGTAGAGGCTGGGCGCAAACACCACGGCCGCGAGCCGGAGGAGGTGCGGCTCGGCGCCCTGGAGCGGCACCACCTCCGCGCCGAACACCGCGCGGAACCGCGCCACGGCCGCAGCGGCGTCCCCGCACAAGTCCACGTGCCGCACGTCGTCCGTGACCGGGTTCTGCTGCACGTACCGCCGGTCCTTGTCGTCCATGAGGGTCACGTAGACGATGAAGCCGCGTTTCTCAAAGTCGAGCGCCACGAGCCGCGTCATGGGCTCCGTGGGCGAGCCCACCACAAGCACCACGTCCCGGCGGGCGCCGTTGGGCAACTTGGGCACGCGCCGCCGGCGCGGCCGGCGGCTGCCGGCGGCCAGAAGCTGTTTGCGGCGCTGCGCCACGAGCCCGGCGAGCCCGAGCCCCGTGAAAACGGCGCCGAGAAGCGCGTGTTTGTGCGGCCGGGCGCAGCGGCCGAGCCGGGCCACAATGGACGCGGGTGGCGCCGCAACGGGGGGCGCAGACGCCCCGCCAAGGGGGATCAGGGGCAACGAGTCCCAGAGCGCGGCGGGATCGGGCCAGTTTTCGGCCTGCGCGTGGAGATATCGGGACGCGGAGTCGTACGTGGCGCGGAGCGTGGCGAGCGTGGCCAGAACAGGTTCGGCCACCATCGGAGGGGGGTATTTTGGGGGGAAAAGGGGGTGTTTTGGGGAGAAAGAGGAGGTGCTTTGAGGAAGAAGAAGGAGTAGTAGGGGGCTGCCGTTTGGCGGCGGGCGCGCGGCGGGAGGGGCGCGTCACGTGACGCGGGGTGCGCGCGCTTGAGGAGAAAAAAAGACGTGCCGGTCCCAGGAATCGAACTTGGGTCTGCTCGGCCACAACGAGCTGTACTTACCACTATACTAGACCGGCTTGTATGAATGTCCTTGATAGTGGACAGCAAAGTGGAAGCGGTTAGAAAGCTCGGGTTCGCGCCAGTATCTTGATGTGATCTTGAACTAGATCCGATGACCGCTGCCCCCTCATCCTTAGCGTGGGCTTTGTCCCCGTTTTATACAAAAAAAATGGAAAAGATGGGTATAGATGAATCTTCAAGAGAAGCGCCTGCTATGAGTAGGTTTTCGATGCTGATCATGCGAGAACAAGACGCACCGCTCTTCATCAACGACATGGCGGCGATTCAATCCGGTGCAGAACAAGGCAGTGAAATCCCTTGCGCCCGATATTTTTCAATCTGGCATTGTATCCCTTTTTAGTTCGCCGTGGAACGCTTAATGGAATTCCGATTGTTCATGAAAAGGCGGTGATGCATAGTATGTAATATCGTGCTTTCGCAGATGATGTTAATATCTACCTTGATGATAAGGGAGATTGTGCCAAAGCTGCAGCAATTATTTCGAGCTGCGAGCAAGCCAGCAGCCGTTTGCCAAGTGCGAGTATATCTAAACTTTCAGGCTTTGCTCCGCATTTCCCACGGCTCTCTCGAGACATTCTACCTTATCCGCAGTACATTCATGCCGACAATACGGGGTGGATTGGGCTCATTTCATCAATAACCTCCCATTCCGGTTCGTTCAATCGGGATACTATCTGCTGGCGATTATTGAGCGAGCACAGGGTAACGTGCAGTTTATCTGCTAAAAACTAGTTTATCAAGACATTGTCCAGTGTATGACCGCAAAGGAGTTGCAAGCCGTGGATGCTGGTATCAAACGTGTGTTTGCAGGCATTCGAAAAGAAGAGATATATGTCCGGCCTAAACATGGCGGATACAGACTCATAGAAATGAAAATACAAGTGCGTGCTCATACAGCTGGCGCTCTACGCTCGACACTCTCGACTGCACACGTTTGGTTCACCAAATTGCTCAAACTCAAAATGATACGTCACATGGTTAAACTTACTCGTGAAAATAGCCGAACTAGTATCAGACTCGGCGCGGGCCTATTATGGGTCGACTTTTGTATCCGACATGTTCTACAAAACCTATAATGGAAGTTCATCCCCAACGAATGTATCTATCTCGAAGCTTGGAAGGAATTTGTTGCAAGAACTCGTGACTTTCAACGACTGGTGTTAAGTACAATGAGGGAGCAACAGCTCTCTGCGTACACTGAAGTATTCGCTAGGCCTCATTCGAGCAGATTGAATATAAAACCTCATGAGATCGAAGCAATACAAGATACGGCGCTTCTTTCATTGAGCCGGCGCAAACAACAAGAACTTCTGCCGCTTTCCCGTTTCCTTGTGATAGGCCCGAGGTGAAGGCGATGAAACGCTGGCGAAAATTTGGGAAAAAATTATACAAACAAGAATGGTCCGTACAAGAGATCTCACTGCCATCTATCTATTCAACCACGACTCCTATATTTCCTTTGATAAGAATGAATTTGGGGAGTCACTGATTGAATGGAGGCTGTGGTTGAACAGCTGTTATAGCGATCAAAAATAATCCACCTCCACAATGTGTATGAGATTGTGCACTTCTGGTGACAAAGGATCGGCTTTCAAGGTCCGATGCACTTAAGGAAAATGCTAGCTCCTTTAAATACTTTCTTTGACAATTAAAAAACTTAAGAAACCTTTATCGGCTTGTTAAAGTCGTTCGCAGGGTTTATATGCTAAGGGACCAGGAGGCAATGACAAATGCCGCTCTGTCAAATGAATTATGGCCACGTGCCCTTAGAAATATCCTATGGGACGATGGCATTCAGTTGATATTATTCAAGTGGTTGACGGTTATGGGCAGACGTCTTTTCAAGAGCAGTAAATTCTCTTCAGGAATTTCGTGAACTGGTGCTCGCGGCTTATCACCTGAGCCAATATTGCGATCTTTTATAGTTTTTTCTCTATAGTTTTTCATGTGTGGTGGGTTTTACATCCCTTCAGTAACACCCTATACTGATGTCTCTTTAAAGAAGAAAAAGGAAGAAAAAGTGGGGCAGGAGCTAGACTTCGCCAAGCTCATGGGTTTATATGATGTGTTGTCTCCAGCCGACAGCTCAAGAAACTCTCTGGAGAATTTTTTAAGATTAAATGGTTTATCCCCACAATCTTTAAGGTATACGCTCGAAGACGTGGCATTTTACAGGAGCTGAGCTCTTAAGTTTTCTTCAACCATCTGAGTCGAAGCAACTACTAAAAGAGACGTCTAGGATTTGATGACATACTATCCGATACGTAAACAACTGCTTGTCAAAAAGGACTGACCATGCCGGTATCAAAGAAAGGGAAGGGAACGGTCTCGATACCAGGCACATATCCGGGAGCTGCTTAAAGGGATTTTGTATTATTGTCTAGTTTGTTCCTCTAATCAGATGAATCTACCAAAAACAAAAAATGGACTAAATACCATATCTCTTGTCTGATGAACTGTCTCTGCCGAAATTGGACGACGAAGTGATGATTTGTTTTTGAGAAACTGGAATGACAAAGTATCAGCCAACAGCTGTGGTCACATATTGACAGGATGAGGGTTTTCAAGTATATTAAAGGGCGAGCGCTTCTGGCAGTCTGAAGATGGTGCGACTGGAATAATAACCTGCTTTCAGCGATCAATACTTTGTATGGTCACAAAGAGTTGGTCTATCATGGGTCAAACTCCTATCCGAGCCAACAAGATTCATAATCACTTAGATTGATTGCTCACTCCTGGTGAATTCATCGAAAAACAAAAACAAAAACAAAAAAATCCCTCTCTCAATTCAAAAAGACATGTGAATCGTGCTGTGTTCCCCTGAGCATATAAATGTATGCCATTAAAAAATGCGGAGATCAAGCCATGTCGGGATACGTCGTGGTACTCAAGGCAACAAGCACTTTCAACAATAAAACCTAGGATGTTTACAAAAATCCATGAGGACAGAATAAAGCAAAGGCTTATTATAGAGAAACCGTGATGCAAGCTAGCCGTGACTTTGTTCGAATCTGTTCTTTGATTTGCCAGCCATGAATGACAGACTAAATCCTGATGCAAGGGCAAAGTGCCATTGTGGTCTCAATACTTTAATTAAAAGAGATTTTGAGCCACTGTCCCCATACTTAACTTACGGCCATGAATAACAGGGACTGACTTGCCTCACTGCACACGCTCTGAGTGACTCAGAGACGTACCTAGGTTCCAATAGTAAGTAATTTAAATATAATAAGGTAAAAAAGAGGGGTATCTTTTAAGCCTCTTCCCAGAGTCTTGGAATATTGTTAATTTGATGAAGGTGAATCTCAATGCACTTCAAGCGGTCAATGCCAATTTGGAAATTCTTGGAAGAATCAATTTTGTGTGAAGAGCTTTTTAAGCTGAAGCCATAAAGAAATGAATTTGACTTGATTTGTTTTCACGGTCTTTGAAATTGATTTTGAGAGAATTAACAAAGCCTCTGAACCTGCCTCGGACATTTGAGCTGAAGCGATTTGAAGAGACTTTCTGGCTGAAGAATTGTATGTACCTGTTTCATCATCTAATTTAATCAAAACATACAAAAAGATATATAGATTATAGTTTCTCGTCCACGCCTATCGTTACTCATGGTATGGTACTTATTCTACACTATGTGAATGGAATTACACGCTATGCAAGTTTGATATTTTCAGCTCAATCCATGTAATATTTGGGACCGTGGATTGGATGTCCCAAAGATAGAGGATACCCATTCTAGAAGTTGATGACCGAGGCTCAATACTCAGACATCTCATAAGATTTATAAGGTAGCAAGAGCGGGTAGTGACCTGAAATTATGAAGCCTGTGGACAATGTACTAGATACCATGATAAATAACAAAGTAGCGATGAATTGGCAGCAAAACCAGACATCAAGTCCCAAATCGGGCATTTTGCACATGAAGCGGTGAAGATGCTAGTTCTATGGTACGTCTACTTTGGAAAGCCGAAACACTCTTATTTTTCAAAGGTCAAGTAGCCAGCTCTGAAATAAGCCCATTTTTTTGGGCTTCGAGGGGCGCCTCACTTATCTGAACTCTTAATCTGTTTCTTGAAAAGCTACGGAGATTCTTGTGGCCTTGTCAGCCTCTGGATGCGAAAATGCAATTTCTTTGAATCTTTAAGTCACACTAACTTTAATCAATATAGAAGTCGTTAGGGTCTTTATATGCTTGGTCAGAAGCACTTAAAACTTCTCAAAGTCAAATGACGATATTCTTTCTGCAAATCAGATTTTTGCTCTAAGCTTTATCTCCCTGACTTTAGTTGTAAGGGCTGGATGCTGACTGAATACCCGATGATTGGAAGGAAAATTATTTGGACGTCATCGGCAGGTGTGCAACTAGTCAGTTGCATACATCACCCGCAGCTCAAAAAGTATAATGAACGTCGTCATTTCAATTAGGCGACCGATGCAGGCCAAGGTCAAAGGATTCTGCCACAAATGACTTTCCCTAGAAATTAAATACTATGGGCAGGAAGCAGACTCTTGTAAGGCGATCGGCTCGGACGGTGCAAGTGAGACCAGCACAACAGCTATATATAGAACACATACCGCCATATAGAACTTCGAGACATGTATAGAAGGTGATCCTGGATCTTTTCATGCACGCATCCCAATGATGTTAACGAGCTACACTCGTAAATTGGAAATGCAAACATGATATGGACCGGCGACATATCAGGATACGGTCCGTCTTTGGACAGCCTGGTATCCCATATCACCTGCTTCGAGGTCGGACGAGCTCGAATCCACTCGAATCTGGACAGCGCACATCTGCTTACAGCATCATCTTTCTAAAATTTTTGATTTTCGATTGTTGGTTATGTCATGACTTTTCTATATTAAATGAATCAACAGATCGCCGGTTTACTCGCTCTCTCTGGCAAACTCCTTGTACATGTCCGCGTCTGGGATGGCTCCACAGATGGTCTCCACCATGATACCGGTGACCAAGTATGGGTCGATGTTGGAGGCAGGTCTTCTGTCCTCGAAGTAACCGAAGCCCTCCTTGGCAACGGATCTGGGGATTCTCACGGAGGCGCCTCTGTTGGCAACACCGGACGAGAAAGCGTCCATGGAGGCGGTCTCGTGACGGCCAGTCAATCTCATCTCGTTGTCCGAGCCGTACAAGGTCAAGTGCTCCTTGTGTCTCTTGGCCAACTTTCCAAGAGCATCCTCGATGTGCTTCATGCCGCCAGCCTCTCTCATGAGCTTGGTGGAGACGTTCGTGTGGCAACCAGCACCATTCCATTCTCCGGCCAAAGGCTTGGGGTGGAAAGAGATCTTGACTCCGAATTCCTCGGCGACTCTTTGCAAGAGGAAACGGGCCATCCACAACTCGTCTCCCATTTTGATTCCCTCGCAGGGTCCAACCTGGAATTCCCACTGGGAAGGCATGACCTCGGCGTTGATACCGGAAATGTTCACGCCCGCGTGCAAGCACGCTCTGTAGTGGGCCTCCACAACGTCTCTGGCGTAGACCTTGCCGGTTCCAACTCCACAGTAGTATGGGCCTTGAGGAGCGGGGAAACCGCCCTTGGGCCACGCGTAAACCTGGTCATACTGGTCGAACAAGGTGTACTCCTGCTCCAAGCCAAACCACACCTCCTCGTCAGAGTGTGCGGACATGAGCTTGGCACACTCGTGTCTGTGGTTGAATTTGTTGGGCGTGCCGTCGTTGTTCCAGCATTCCGTCAACACAATGATGTTGTCGCCCTTTCTGAAAGGATCAGGGTAAAAAGCAACTGGACGGATGTAGATGTCGGAGTCGTGGCCGGGAGCCTGGCCGGTGGAAGATCCGTCAAAGTTCCATTCTGGCAAGTCCTCGATAGACAGCGGCTTTTTGGACAACGTTTTGCACTTGGATCTGGTCTGGCCCTCGGAGTCGATCCAGACGTACTCAGCAAGGATCTTGCCTCTTTGGTCCAAATCAAGATATTTGGACAATATAGCGGTTTGTTCTGTGATGGACACCATGGCTAGTGTGTTTGTGGTTTTTTTTTGTAGATAAGAAGCCGCAAGAAAATGGGGCAGACTTGGTGGGTGCTTTTAGGGCGGGGCTAGCAGCAAAGAAAAGAGGTGATTAGCAGGTAATCGGACTGAAAACAGCAACAAAGAAGTGAGGAATTTGTTAGTGAAGCAAACAAAAAAAGGAAGCAAAACTTTTGGTGAATCGCAGCAAACACTGGTAATTAAATACCAGAAAAGGGAGGCCAGTCATTGCGACCTGGTGAGCACCGGCATATGCGCCGGTGCGATAAAGGACGCAGGCGCGGAAAAAGCAATACGCACCGGGCGTGATTGGGGAAACGTTTAGGCGGTCGGCCTGCACACAGCCGGGCTCTGCAGAAGAAGAATCCCGATAAGAGAAGTTCCCGCGACACGCACCTGCCTTGTCGGGATAGGCCAGGCGGAAGCCGGCGGCCGCGCTGGTTTGCGCTGCGCACCTGGCCTATCCGGATCCGCTCTTCCACGGCAGAGCGCCCAGGCGCGCAGTACGCTCTGGAAACCCCTGCCGAACCAGGAGACGTCAGCATTAATTGTCCGGCTAAGACAGGGGCGCTAGGGCTATTTTTACGTTACGGGGATTATTACTCATAGATCTCACCTGTCATATGCCATGTCAGGGCAGACTACACGTAAGGCCCCAACGAGTAGCATACCGTTCAGAAAGACAGTATATGGCAGAGACAAGTGTTGTGGCCGAGGAATACCAAAAAATAAAGATAAAAAGTATTACCCAAATAGTACGGAAGAAGTACAAGATCAAGCCGCTTGGCCGGTGAAAATCTCTCCTCGGAGATTCGAGCCGCGACCGAAAAGTGCACCTTCGCACATGATAAGATTTTTTTTTTTTTCGAAAACCTTGATTTTGGTTGTACCTTGGCCTTTCCCTATTCGGGAAGTCTGAGCAGCAGAATAGAGTATGAGTCCACGATTCCACCAGATATGAAAAACACTCATATCGCCCGTATCGCAAGTCACAGATGAGCCAGGACGGATGCCGAGAATTTTCTATTCTGCGATCAACAAACTGATCCGGTCTTCCGGGCTTGACTCCGCCTCGGGCTTTACAACAAAATGAGGTGCCGCAACTCGTAACTGGATTTTCTGAATTAGAAGGGTCTCCGCACTCCAGTCGGGCCAGCGTCGCGCCAAGCTCTTTTGGTTTAGTTTTCTGGCATACAGTATCCTTATCCGCCAATCATGGCAAGAGAAGAGCGTGCCGGATAAGCATGGCCCAGGTCACGCGACGAGACCTGCAGGCAGCAACCTCGGAGTTTAACTTTCGAGCCCCCGTCGCCTGGGCCATATTGTTATGGAAATGGCTCTTTGCGATGTGCCGGACTCGTTTCCTGTCATGCTCGTGGATCTCTGAAACGCCATGGCGCCCGCTTCTCTGAGGGTATTGGAGCTGATTCGGGGGTCCCGAGATGATATACTGGCATTTGCGTTCTGCCCGATGACTGAGTGTTGACTTCTGAAACACCGCTGAAACATTGCAGAAGCTTCGAAACATTGGCTCTCCTTTTCTTATCTAGAGACGTCCGTCGCAGACTTTATGCTCTGTGCATGAGCATCGCCAGGCCTACACATTGATAAAGAAAGGGGCCTTATTGTCCGTGCTGGGGCCAATCTCCGAGCCGCGTTGCATTATTGTTTTTGGACTGGCGTGTGTTATTCCAGGCCTGCAATGGCTCTATCACCAAGATATGAAGATGCCATGGCAGTGGTGGTTGATGACAGTATTGGTATTTTGATGACAGTATTGCTAGTTTAATGACAGTAGTGCTGACTTGATGATATTAGTGCTCGTTTCGATAATATTAGTGCTAGTATTGATGGCAGTAGTGCTAGTTCTCAAATACAAGTGCTCGTATTGATGATAGTAGTGCTAGTTTGTATGATGTGAGTGCTAGGTTCGATAGTATTAGTGCTTTTGTTTCTGATATTGATGCTAGTATTGATGACAGTAGCTAGTGCTAATTTCGATATATTAGATCACAGTGCTAGTTCTGATGACAGTGTGCTAGTTTTAAATTGAGGGAGACGTCAAAGCCGCTAGGCGGCAATTCCTTCATGACTGAATGAGAGCTCTGAGAGATAAAGAGACGCTGGAGATGTGCAATGCCATGATATGTGGCACTGGGTCCCATTGCTTGTTCCGTGTATTTTGAAGGGTTCAAGTCTCGGTGTGTTGGTAGCAGGCATTTGGATTGTTGTAAGATTCTGAGCAGGCGCGTCAGGAGACCAGTATTTGAAGTTCAGGACGTTTTGACATTGGGGCTTTGTCTACCAGTGCTGGAACCCGAAACCGCCCGATGGGACCATGGTCCAGTTCTTTTTTGAAGCTTCTTTGAAGGTCATGTATTTGCCTCGACCCCACCCTTACTATCTTTATCTGACTTCCAGTGAACCCTTTATTTGAGACCATTACGCTGCCCACCAGGGCGTCATTTAACCCTCATTAGCCTTCATCAAGCCCTCGACTAGTTCATATTAATTCTCATTTCACCTTCCACGAACGCATTAATTAACGCTCACTCAAGTCTCACTAAACCGTCATTTTAATCTCACTCAACCGTGATTTGATTCTGTCTTACCCGAACTTTCTTATACATCATTTAAATTCACGTATCAGTCATTCAATCCTCACTCAACCTCATCCAGCCCCAATTCAACTCTAATTTGGATATCAGCCCTAATTTAAGCCTCAACACATTTAAGCCTCAACTTATCTAAACTTCAACTCATCTGAACCCAACTTATCTGAACCCAACCCATCTAAAGCCAACTCATTTCTCAACCTCATATAAACCCAACTCATTTAGACCTCAACCTCATATAAACCCCATCTCATCTAAAACCTAACTCATTGAACCGGAACCAATTTAAACCTCAACCAAGCCCATTCAACCCCCGTTAGACCTTATTTGGCTCTAATCAAATCTCACCCCTCCTTCAAACCCACCTCATCTAAACCCACCTCATCTTAACCCACCTCATCTAAACCCACCTCATTCAACCCAACTCACCCAACCCCGCCCCGGCTGCGAAAACAGCGCCGGCAGCCGCACACCCGTACACCGCGACAAGCCCCGACCCCAGACGGCCCAGGTATATCCTCTCCATCAAATCGCACCCATGTCTGAATCGGGAAGCTTGCTAGGCGGGCCGGGCGCCCCGGCACCCGCCCACCGCCTCTCGATTTTCACCGTTTCTATGCTCGCCTTAGGCGGACCATCGGGACGGGTCTCTTTTGTTTTTTTTCCATGGCCACGCTCGTATTTCGGGGCCCACTCATGGCTTTGGCATCCATGTGCTATGGGCCTTCATCGTAGTAATCGTGCTGGAGGTCACGGCCGAGCTCGCGGTGTTTTTTCCCGGCAGCGGCCTGATTGGGCAGTTCCAGGTCTTGTTTCTCGCAGGCCCATCGGACTAGCAAAAAGCACCATCTACTGGTTCAGCTGGGGTTTGACCTATGCGCTCGGGCTCTCGATTGCCGTGTCGGTATGCTCGTTCAAACTGCTCTCTTCCTCGGGTTGTGGTTGGCTTTCCCCGCTTTCAACTTGCTCCCCGTGGACGTGTGTGGCCAGATCGAGTATGGGATCACGCTCGGCAAGGTGATGGCCAATTTGGGGCTGGTGCTCTTGATGGCCGGGCCCACCAACTACTGGAGATTTTCGTGACTGGCAGCGGCGGGCTCGTGCATGACGCCTTGGCGTTTGCGGGTTCTGGGTGTGTTTGGTGGCGCCGGATAGTGGTGGGGCAAGGTTCGATGGAACTGGGGCGTGAGAGACTATTGTAGCGAGAGATTCATTGGAATTGGGGTGGGACAGACATTGTAATTGGGGTGTGAATTACTATTGTAATTGGGGTGTAGAATTACTGTGACTGGGGTGTAAAGGAGTCACTGGAATGGAAGGTTAGTGGAACTGGAGTGAGAGACTATTGAAATTGGGGTGAGAGATTATTGTAGTTGGGGTGCGGAATTACTGTAATCGGACAGTGAACGAGTTCCTGTAATGGACGGTTATTGTAGTTGGGTATGAATTACTATTGTAGTTGGGGTGTATATTTACTGTGAATGGGGTGGGACAGACTATTGTAGTTGGGGTGCGGAATTACTGTAATCGGACAGTGAACGAGTTCCTGTAATGGACGGTTATTGTAGTTGGGTATGAATTACTATTGTAGTTGGGGTGGGACAGACTATTGTAGTTGGGGTGCAGATCACTGGAATTGGAGGGTGAAAGAGTTGCTGTGGCGGATATTATCTAATTTTGCATAGTCGGGCTTCACCGGGTATATATTGTTATTTAATAATAGTTTTATAGCTTGTGGGGGGAATTTATGACCAAAGGTTATACTTCGGGGTGATGACTGAAATAAGTTTCATGTTTGAATAATTGTTTTAATTATTTTGTACTAAATAATTTCTTTTTTTAAATTCAATACCCCTAAAATTATTTCATAAACAAAGGCCATAACTAATGTAGATCAGAATAATATTAAAACAGAAATTCCGTATATATCATTTAAATAAGCACTTACAGCATAAGGTAAAGAAGATATTTCTAAGTCAAAGGGTAAGAAAAGTATAGCAACTAATATAAAAGCAATACTAAAAGCAGATGTGGATTGTTGATGGCGTTGGGATGTAGAAGACTATTGTGATTGTGGTGTGAAATAGCCACTGTAATGGAAGGCTATTGAGATTGGAGTGCGAGAGATTACTGTAATGGGAGTTCCAAAGATTCTTGTAATAAAGATTCATTGAAATTGGGGTGGGACAGACATTGGAATTGAGGTGTGACAGACCATTGTAATTGGAGCGCAGAGTTACTGTGAATGGGGTGTGGAAAAGTCACTGTAAGGAAAGGTTCGTGGAATTAGGATGCGAGAGACTATTGTAGTGGGGTGTAGAATCACTGTATTTGGGATGTGGAGGAGTAATTGTAAGGTAAGTCATTGGATATGGGGTGTGAATTACTATTGTGGTTCGGGTGTAGAATTACTGCAATTGGGGTGTGAAAGAGTTACTGTGATAGAAGGTCATTGGAACTGGGATGTGATTGACTATTGTAATGGGAGTGTGGAAGAGTTACTGTAGTTGGAACGTGAGAGTTTTGCAATTGGAATGTGAACTAGTTATTGAAGTGGGAGTGTAATAGAAATTCTGTGATTTGGGTGTAAAAGACTATTGTAATTGAAATGTGAAAGAGGTTTTGTAATGGGAGTGCGGAGAGTCGTTGCAATTGTAGTGTAATCTAAGTATTGCAGTTGGACTGTGGATGACTTATTGAAATTTTAGTATAGAAAAACTTTCTGGAAATGAGCTTCGAAAGACCTTACTGTAGTTTGGGTATGAAAACTTAATAAGACCATGAAAGACTTTATATGATGATGGTTATTGATCAGTGTGACAACCTCAATGAACCTGACCTTGATTGTGTGGTCATCTTTCTTGGAATTCACAAGCGAGCATGACTTCTTGTTTTCGGACTCTTGAAAGTCCAAGTCTCATTGCCCCTGTAGCAGCAGGAATGAGTTGCAATATTGGCGTATGTTTGTCTTTGTATCCGGATTGTTGTGTTGTATCAAATCATAACGTTCTCCCCCGGCGTTTTGTAGGCGTACTATTCATGGAGCCAAACAGAGACAGCTGCGGTATGATACATGATATAGTATCAGCCCCAAACGCTAGCACAGCATCAGCATCTTCAGAGTTCTCCAAACGGAATGCTATGTATAGTCTTCATGCATCTGGTTAACAGCTACTCGTCTCGACATGCTTCAGAAAAGCCCGGCTTTCTACAATAAAACACCGGCAAGACTCAACCGTCCTTTTGGCAGTCAGAATCATACATCATGTGGCAAAATAAAATGCCGTGGTGAGTATATGTATATTTTGTTGGCCCATTTGATATCGAACCAAGGTGGGGGACTATTCGTGGCTGAGTACCATCAAAAATCAGCGGCAAGCCAAAAGCTCAGAAGAGACAGTGGAATGGCGGCTGGTGGGATTCTCAAATAGTTGCAGGACTAAAACGATGAATATGTAAACACCGCTGGGCATGAGATTTGTCTTGATTCTGATTGATTACTGAATTATCAAATTTAACATGGCAAGAACCAGGTCGCTACAAAAAGCATTACGTTGCTTGATGTTGGATGTGTTCAGGGATCAAAAAGGACATAGGAAAGGAGCACAAGTTCAAAAGCGACTGAGAAATCCACCGTGGAATGATGTCCTGGAAACAGTTCGAGAGTCAAACAATAGATCAAGGCGATCTCTAAATATGGACCGGAATGAAACAAAAACCACCCGAAAAAAACTGCAGGAAGTCCAAAAAAGGTTTGAAGTGCGTTGCTCGACCAAAACAAACAAAGATGAAACCATGAGATCACCTGAAGATGACACCACATATGATGCGAGAAAAGTCAGAAAATGAAGCCAGAAATAATGCCACAGAGTTATCAGAAATGGCACCATGGAATGATATGAAATAAACTACACGAGTATCAAACAGAGTATAACACTTGATTGTAAGAGAATAGCTCCACGGGACAAGGACAAAGGCACTGCACGAATTTTGATTAAAGTTTGAGACGGTATTTCCCAGGGAGTAAAAGAGACCCGAGACCTCGAAGAATAATACGCAAACGAAAAGAAAGGAACTAAACATTAGCAAAAGGCCCAAACGGCTTTGCCAGAGAATAAATCGACCAAGAGAACTGACAACACTAGAAAGATATCGGGAAGCACCAAGGTTTCTACACCAAAACCACAGCTATAAAACACTGTATATAGATCAGCAAGGTGTGGCCAGAAAATGACAGAAAGGCACTGCAACAATGCCAGCTAGATTCCAAGCAGCGTTGGGGGAAGACTAAATAGACCAGAAAGACGTAGCCAGAACACCAGAACACGACAAGAAAGGCAGGAGAGAAATTCAAGGAAGAGCTCCAAGCCGCGTTGCCGAAAGACAAAAATAGACCCGGAGATGCTGCTATATTACAGAAAACAATATGGAATCAGAAGAAGGTATCGCAAGAACAACAGAATATTTATAAATGGCACCGCCAGAGACGAAAACCATTCAAAGACCAAAAACGGCACTAGTGGAAACTCAGACCAGACCAGAAAAGCATTGATATATCGACCAAAAGATGCACTAGATCAATCGATGTTGCAGCCCTAAACTTGGAAGTCAAAGCCGGAATTCAAAGCCGGAAGTCAAAGCCGGAAGTCAAAGCCGGAAGTCAAAGCCGGAAGTCAAAGCCGGAAGTCAAAGCACTAAAGCCAGGCTCTACTAGATCAGTCAAAGCTTGGGGCCTATTTTTTTCAGAGCCAGGATTCAATCAACACTGTAGTCAAAGCCCTAAGTAAAGCCAGGTTCGACTAGACCAAACCAAATTAGCCCTAAAGCCAGACTCTATTAAAACGCCTCAATTGAAGCCCTAGATAGAGCTGGATCAACGAAATGCCATGTTTTTATTGAACAGTCAGAGTCACTTTGTCCGTACCAGTTCTTTGATGGTTGTTAATGAGGGTAGGGTAACGAGGGTGGGCAGGTGGAAACAGACCAGAGATGGATCCTATTGAAGAAGGCTACTTCGGACCGTTTCTGCCCCACACTTCGACCCACATCCTGGATCCTCCAAGCCTTAGGGCCAACCCTTATCCCGAAGTTACGGATTTATTTTGCCGAGTTCCTTGATGAACTCAAACGCCGTTATCAAAGGCCAGGCTGGACCAGCCCTAATTAAAGCCCTAGAGCCAGGCTGGACCAGCCCTAATTAAAGTCCTAGAGACCAAAACCCGAAAGCGAAAGCAGAGCCCCAAACTAGAGCCCACTTTCAAAAGCCGAATCCAAAAAATCAACACGTGTTCCGGCCCCACAAATATAGGCCCCGCGCCCGGGCTTCCAAACGGCCCGGCCTGCTGGAAACAGCCAAGCCCCTGGAAACCCGCACGCCAGTGACGCTAAAAAGCCCGCGCCATACGAGGCGCTAATTTGTCGAGCACCACGGCCGGCGTCCAATTCGAGCCAGTTCTGGAAATAGGCTCGATCCAGCAAACACGTCGATTTTTTTTTATATTGACGCCACCTGGGAAGCGTTGTCTTGAAGCACCCGAAGCACCTCGCCTAAAACACGCCCGGCCGTGACATTTAGAGCACGGCAATTCTTGCCCCATCTATTTTTTTTTTTCGCCGGCATCTCCAGCGGCGCACGGCCCGAGACGCCCTTGATACAGGGATTATATCACGTTTTCCTTTAGAGCCGGCGCCCTATCAAAACACCGAGCCAGAGAACCATAATTTTTTTTGGGCATCTGCAAGCGACCGCAAGACCAGAACCGCGAGTCGCCACAAAAAGCAGATTGGCACGAAGCAGCAGAGTCAAGTTCTCGATACAAAGAGGTGTTCGATACAAAGCGGCAAGAGGTATTTATTCGTGTATAGTATCAGCGGCACGAAGCATCAGATACAAGGCAAAGGTATTTATTCGTGTAAAGTACGAGCTGGCCAAAGCATCAGATACAAGGGTATTTATTCGTGCAAAGGAGCAGGTTGACAGGAACATCAGATACAAAGAGGCAAGATATCATATCTTGCAAAGTAGACACAAGGTCTCATTTGTGTGAAAGCAGAGACACGGAGTATTCGATCCAAGACAAGGTCTTCATTCGTGCAGAGTATCGGGTTGACAGGAATCATCAGATACAAAGAGGCAACGTATCATATCGTGCCAGGTATCGGATTGCAGGAATCATCAGATACAAGGTCTCATTTGTGTGAACTCGGAGACACAGAGTATTCGATCCAAGACAAGGGTATTTATTCGTGCCAGGTATCGGATTGACAGATACAAGGTCTCATTTGTGTGAACTCAGAGCACGAAACATCAGATATAGAGAAAGCGGCACGAAACATCAGATTCGTGTAAAGGCAACTCGACACGAAGCATCAGAACTGCCGCAAACGCCGCGGGATAGATCCGAACGTCTGCGGCTAGCACGTCGGCAGCACCACAGCTTTGAACAAGCAAGGCCAGTGAGTTCCAGACGGGCTCGCAGATCCAGGCCACACACACCAGGGCCAGACCAGCAAGTTAGCGCCAGACTCGGACTTGAACCAAGTCCTATAAAGTTAGTGCCAGACTTGGATTTTAATCAAGGACCTATAAACCTGGGCCAGGCCAGCAAGTTAGCGCCAGACTCGGACTTGAACTAAGTCCTATAAACCAGAGCCAGACTCGGATTTCAATCAAGGACCTGTAAACCAGGGCCAGACTCGGACTTGAACTCTAAAACCAGGCCACACGACCAGCCTCCCCCACCCACAGACCCCCACCCATGAGCTTCCTACGCAGAGACAAGTCCAAGTCGCACTTGCCCTTGAAAGAAACGGCTGCTGGCCAGCACGTCTCCCCGGGCCAGGCCTCCCCGGCGCCCGGCGTGCCGGCCATGACGCCGCTCGCCCAGCCCAGCGCGCCCCGCGAGACTCGTGAAAACAGCGCCGAGCCGCGCGACCACGAAAGCCCCGTGCTGTCCTTCCAGATCCACAGCGTGCCCCGCAGACAACCGCTTTTGCGCTCGCAGACCGCCGGCGCGGCGTCGCCACACAGCCTGGCGTCCGCGGCCCGGTCCGCGTCGCCGGCAGCGGTGTCGCCCAGCACACGCGAGTTCCCCGGCGGCCTAGTGCGGCCGCCCACGGAGGGCTACTCGCCGCGGCTGTCGTACGCAGTGCTCCCCGCGCTCAGTGACGGCGAGAGTGCCGGCGACGCGGACGCCGTGGTCAAGGACGACTACAGGGGCTTCCACAAAAGCAAGGGCATCCGCGCCAACGTGCCGCCGTTGGCGCAGCCGATCAAGCCGCGCTTCCGCAAGAAGGGCAACGCGTTGCTCGGCAAGCTCATGCACTCGGGCCGCAAGGACTCGGACGCGCTGGTCCAGTCCGCCGGGTCCGCCGAGGCGGCCGGCGCCGGATTGCCGGACGCGCTCCACCCGGGCTTGGGCCGCAAGAGCGTGAGCTCCACCGGCTCAGCCAAGCACAAGTTCCGGCTCCCGTCCATCTCGCTGCACCACCACAGCAGCATGGCGCCGGACACGCCCCGCCACCACTCGGTGCTGGAGGAAAGCCGCGTGTCCGAGCGGCTGTCGGCGCCCGCGTCCAAGCAGGGCTCCGTGTCGGGCGCCGCGGGGAGCCCGTCCCGCATGTTCGACTTGGACTTGAACTTCGACGAGATGCAGAGCATCCTCCGGCAGCCCCACGGGCGGGACATGGGCGCGGCGTCCCATCGGCGTGAGCTGCGCGAGCCGGCGCCGGACGCGCCCGTGTCCAAGGACGCGGCGCCGGACGACCCGCTGAAGAACTCCAGCTGGAAGGCGCCGGACTCCTGGGACGTCACCGCCCTCGGCTTCTACTCCAACACGGCCTCGGCCCCGGTGTCCGGGCTGGAGGACTCCGACACGGACGGCTCCCGCAGGTCGTCCACGGGCGAGAAGTACTCGTTCGACCACTCGCTGGACAACTCGTCCACGGCGTCCGGGGCCAGCAACAGCGCCGCCGACAGGAACGCGGAGCCGGCCCTGGCGCTGGCCGCGAAAAGGCACCGCAAGAGGGTGGACCAGTACCCGCCCTTCCCCGAGAAGGCGTTCCCGATCTTGTACGGCAGCGTTGCCAACAGGGTGCGCATCGCCGACGAGAAGAAGTCCGGCAACCACATCATCAGGGTGTTCAAGGACGACAACACCTTCACCACGGTCCTCTGCTCCCTCGAAACGTCCGCCGCGGAGCTTCTCGTCATGATCCAGAAGAAGTTTTTTCTCGACAGCATCTCCAACTACCAGCTCTCGTTGTACGTGGGCAACAACGTCAAGCTCTTGGAGCCGTTCGAGAAGCCCTTGAAAATCCAGACGGGGCTCTTGACTCTAAGCGGGTACGAGGAAAAAGACAATCTCAGCCTCATGGGGCGAGAGGACTTGTCCTCCATCTGCAAGGTGGTGGTGGAGAACATGGCTTTCCGCAACCTCACGCACGAGGAGGAAACCTCCCTCTCGAGGGACTACATCAACGTTGACATATCTAGTCACAACTTGAAAACAATCCCCATCAAGTTCCACCAGCACACCTATGAGATCGAGAAACTCAATGTGTCTGACAACCCTGCCATCTACATTCCATTGGACTTCATACAGACTTGCTCCAATTTGAACAACATCAAGTTTTCCCGGAACGGCTGCTCGAAGTTTCCCTTGAATTTCCTCGAGGCAACGGGCTTGACTGGTCTTCTGATGGAATGCAACTTCTTGGATGAGATCCCTGCTCGAATCAGCCACTTGAAAAAGCTCGAGTCATTCAAGCTTAACTCCAATCAATTGTACTACTTGCCTAGGAGTTTCGGGAAGCTTTCTCACTTGGTCACGCTCAACTTGTCCTCCAACTGCTTCCAGCAATTCCCGGAATGTATCACAGAGCTCCTGAACTTACAAGACCTTGATTTGTCCTACAATGACATGACCAAAATCCCTGACTCCATTGGCAAGCTCACAAAATTGGTCAAGCTCAATTTGAGTACAAATAAGTTGAGCAAGACTTTGCCAAATGGTATGTCCAAGTTGGTTGAGTTGAAAAGATTGGATATCCGTTATAATAAGATTTCCAACATCGATGTTCTTGGTTCTTTGCCTAACCTAGAAGTCATGTACGCATCGAAAAATTACATCTCTAGCTTCAGTGACAAAATGGAAAGATTGAGACTTATTCACTTCGACAGAAACCCGATTACATCTTTGGAGTTCGAGATCGCCTTGCAGATGCTCACAGTGTTAGACCTTTCTAAAGCGAAGATCACAGCTTTACCCGCGGAATTCGTGAGCCAAATTCCTCACATTGAGAAGCTCGTCTTGGACAAAAACTATTTGGTGAATCTTCCGGACGAGATGGGAAATCTACCAAAACTTACTCATTTGTCCCTTTTCGGAAACAATATTCAAAGTATCCCGGCATCGATCGGACTGCTATTGTCTTTACAATACTTGGACTTGCATTCTAACAACATCGACTGTATTCCATCAGACATTTGGAATTTGCATAGCTTGTTGTATCTCAATGTTTCGTCCAATATTCTTTCCAACTTTCCCAAACCGCTGTTTGCTGCCACGAAAAAGATGTCTTCTGCCGCTTTGTTCAATGACTATGAGGAAATCACCAAGGACGGCCGGGCAACAGTTGGAAACAAGCTCATATCTCTCGCAGACAGCTTGAAAAGTTTGCAGATGGCAGATAACAATCTCAACGAAGAAGCGTTTGAGTCCATCGCCCTCTTGACGAGCTTAAGAGTATTGAATGTGTCTTACAATGATTTCACAGAAATCCCGGAGGGAGCACTCGCCAGGCTCACACATTTGACAGAACTCTATCTTTCTGGAAACAGCTTAACCAAATTGCCAGCTGAGGACCTCGAACATCTTCCGGAACTAACACGCTTATTTGTGAATGGTAATAAATTGCAAACATTGCCATCCGAGTTGAGCAAATGCCAGCTTTTGGGCCATTTAGATGTGGGCTCCAATCTCTTGAGATACAACATATCGAATTGGCCGTACGACTGGAATTGGTCGTACAACAAACGTTTGACATATCTTAACTTCTCGGGAAACCGAAGGTTCGAGATAAAGCAGAGTTATACCATGAACGAGGAAACAAATGAGCCTCTAGACAGTTTCTTGGGTCTTGAAAACCTCAAAGTCATTGGCTTGATGGATGTCACTCTCACGACACCCAGAGTCCCAGATCAAGGTGTCAATGCGCGACTCCGCACGTCTTCTTCTGAGCTTGACGACGTTGGTTATGGTGTATCGGACGCGATGGGGAACTCAGAATCCGTTGCTTTTCGAGACTCATTCATTCAGAAGTTTAGAGGGAATGAAAACGAGGTTCTCATTTTGTCTTGTGACGGGATTGGCAGCTCGATGCATGGCCAAGGCCACAAGATATCATATTTGACCAAGCAATTGTTTATTCCAAGCTTCACTAGTGAACTTTCGAAAATTCAGTCGAACGATGAAATTCCAAATGCTTTGAGACGTGCCTTCTTGACATTGAACAGGGAGGTCAATTCCGTGTTTGCCAGTCGGAAGTTCAATACATTCACACCCTCAAGCAAATACCCGGAACTCAATGATTTGAGCCTTCTTGAGGATGCTGCCAAAGGATGCTGTATATCTGTGGTATATATCAGAGATGGGGTTGTGTACTCTGCAAATTTGGGTGATATGGAGATTGTTTTATCGAAGAGCAATGCCGACTACAAGTTGTTGTCAACAAAGCACGACCCCACGCTGCGCAAAGAGTTTGAGAGAATTCGAGCATCGGGCGGCTTTGTTTTTGGCGATGGTGCGCTTGATGGAGAACTTAGGATTTCACGTGGTGTTGGGTTCTACAACTATGTTCCTCACACACATAGTGGACCTAGTATCTCAGTGTACAACCCTGCCGGTACTGACGCGATTATAATCATGGCTTCGAAAGTGCTTTGGGACCATCTCACACATGATCTTGCAGTGGATCTTGCTAGACAAGAGAAGGATGATCCTATGCTAGCCGCCGAGAAGTTGAGAGACTACGCAATTTGCTATGGGGCTACAGACAAGCTCTCTGTCACGGTGATTTCTTTGGGTGATCAGAAGAAGAAAAGGCAAAAATTGGCGTCATCTTACATGAACCTTGGGAAGGACACCGAGCTCTACACCGGGAAGAAGCGCAGAGACCGTGGAATGCCATCTGGTGACACCGCATTGAGACGATTGAACGACGAGATCGAACCACCCATAGGCAAATTGGCGTTGGTTTTCACTGACATCAAGAACTCGACGTTGCTTTGGGACACGTACCCCGTTGCGATGAGATCTGCCATCAAGTTGCACAACACTATGATGCGGCGTCAGTTGCGCATTGTAGGAGGCTACGAAGTCAAGACCGAAGGCGACTCTTTCATGGTGTCTTTCCCAACACCGACATCGGCACTCCTTTGGTGTTTCATTGTTCAGAATCAGCTTTTGAGTGAAGACTGGCCGAACGAAATTCTCGAGACCAATGAAGGATGCGAGGTGACGGACTCTCTAGGAAACCTCATATTTAGAGGCTTGTCGGTGAGAATGGGTATTCACTGGGGTGCGCCGGTATGTGAACTTGACATGGTGACCCGCAGAATGGATTACTTCGGGCCCATGGTGAATAGGGCGTCGCGTATCGAGTCGAGCGCTGACGGCGGACAGATTGCCGTGAGCTCGGACTTTTTGAACGAAATGGAGCAGTTGTACTTCTTGCACGACCAGATACAGTCCGGGGAGACATCGTTGGAGGTGGCCTATGGCGGTAACACGGGGGCCGGCGAGATCATAGAGAAGGAGATCAATTCCATTGAGGACATGGGTTACGAATACATCGAGCTTGGCGAGCGCAAGTTGAAAGGTTTGGAGACGCCTGAGAACATCGTGCTCGCGTTCACGAAGAATCTTGCCAAACGATTCGACATCTTCAAGAAGAGAATGTCGCAGGACGCGGAGTCGACCGGCAGGGTCCTCGGCACGTTACCGGTGGACTCTGTGTTGTTCTTGCGGTCGCTCTCGTTGCGGTTGGAGCACATCTGCTCGGTGTTGAACCTGGGGTACAATGGTACGGACGAGAAGTACGGGAAGTATAGCGGGGACATCTACGCAAACAGCATCAAGAACAACCGGCAGGAGTCGGACGTGGTGGCGCTTTTGAACCACGCGGTCACGCGGGTGGAGCACTGTGTTGCGGCGCTTGAGTTGCGCCAGTCGTACCAGGTGATGCGTGGAATCGAGGGTCCGCTAGACTTTACCGAGAATCTCGGCATATGGACGATAGTGGACGACATGAAGCGGATTATCGCCGGTGCGGGGATTGCGGGGAGTGGGGCGTGAGCGTGAATACGGTCCATGGAGGCCAGGCAGATTCATGATGGAGGCCGGGCAGATTCTCGTGATGATGGAAGCAATTATGGTGGAGCATTGATGATAAAAGAAAGGATGTGATGGAGGAAAGGATGATGATCGAAGGATGATTGGCGCAGCGGAGAAAACGAGAAAACGACGAACGCCTGGGAATCATAGTCGGTGTTTTGGGACCATGGCTATCAGGACGAAATATGCTGGATTTCATCCTGGCGAAAGCTGATTATTGGCGGAAGGCCATTATTAGTGGCTGCGGCCGGAAAGCCCCATTATTAGTGGCTGCGAACAAAGCCTCAGCGTTAGTGGCGGCGACCGGGGATTGCGCCATCGCCCGGCCCAAGTAAAAAACAAACCGGCACATCCGATGAATCAACACGGCCAAACCAAGCAAGACCCAACGCATCCACGCCCCGTCCAGAATCACGCTGCTCCAATGAACCCACCGCCCCAGGCGAACCGGCGCGTCACGTGCCGCGCCCTCGCCGCGCTCGCGAAACCCGGCCGCGCCTAAACCACAGATCCAAACCACAGATCCGAACCACGTTTTTCCCGCCTCCCTGCCGCGTTCTTGCACATCTTTCCAAATGCCGCCGGCAGTCCGACTTCCCGACGCCCGGCCCCCCGACGCCGGGGCCCTGGCGCTCCTGCAGGCGCCCGCAACCACGCTCGCAATGCCTCACCCCACGCTACCGTGGATCCGCGAGGCGCGTTTTGGCATCACGTTGGGCGAGCGGGCAAAAGCCATGGGCCGCATGGCGGCGGCCTCGCCGCTGCTCGGCCCGGCGGACGTGGTGCACTGGGGCCGCCACTACGGCGAAAAGTCCGCCCGGTTCACGCACAACGCGTTCGAGCCCGCGGCTAACGGCCTGCGGTCGAAAGAAGAGGACGGCTACGTGGGCTATTTCCACCACGTCAATGGCGTGGACTACGTGGGCGGTGCGGCCGCGGCGCTCGAGTACCTTGCCGGCGCCGTGGGGCTTGTGCGCAGCGAAAACGGCTATCTGTGGCGCGCTGGCGTCGACGTGGGCTCGCTCGGCACGTACCACGACAAGCCCATGGTGGTGACGCTCTGCGCGTACAACACGTTTGCGCGCGCCGAGCTCCGCGTGCGGCTCGAGGTGGCCGTGCCCCGCTCGCGCCGCTCGCCGGTGCCCGTGGACGCGCTGTACACCATCTACTCGCACGTGCTGAAGAAGCTGCGTGTGTACACGGGCGCCAGCGTGCACGAGGTGGGCGCGGCGTTCTGGACGGAGCTCGCGGCGCTGGCGCTCACGCGGCTCGTTTTGGCCACGGACGACGCCAGCCGCCGGCTCTGCGGCACGGTCAACTTGCCCGGGCTCGCCAGCACGCCGGAGCGGCTCGCGGGCGCCGTGCTGCTGCTCGTGGCGCTCTTGCCCAAGGGGCACCTTGCCGGCGCGCGGCCGCGGTTCGGCCCGCCCAGCACGTGCGGCGCGGACTTGGTCAGCACGGCGCGGTTCCGCAACCACGTGGTGGACGCGTTGGTGCGGCTCGTGGCGCTCGACAGCAGTGGCCGGACGGCGGCCCGCGCGCTCGACGAGCTGGTGCGGTTGCACGGGCGGCAGTTCGACGTGGTGGCGTGCCAGCTCCTCAAGGCGGACGCCAGCAGGAACAACGACCTGCGGTTCTTGCGCATGGTGCACGAGCACGTGGCCACGCACGGCCGTCAGCTGTGCCAGGCCGCGTTGATGCTCGTGGAGCAGGCGCGGTTTCTCCTCGCGAGACACGCGCACGCGCTTGCCATCCCCGTGGCCGCGGACGCCGTGGCGCTCTTGCCCTTGGACTTCGACGCGTGGCACACGTTGGCGCTCTGCTACGTGATGGCTGGCCAGCACGGCCGCGCGTTGGAGACCATCAACGCGTTCCCCGTGGCGTTCCCGCCGCTGGCCCCGGCGCAGCCGGCCGCCGTGGATGGCGTCCTCGACAGCTTTGCCACCACGTACATGGAGCGCGCGCAGCACAACCAGGGCGTGGACTTGCGCACGTTTGAGGCGTTTTTCCCGGCGCCCGAAGCATACGACCGCGCGGGCGAGCCCGTGGCGTCCATGGCCACGATATGGCACGAGCAGTTCCAGCATCAGCGCCACAGGCGCCACCCGGTGTGCGGGCCGTTCCACCAGTCGCCGCTCTTGTTGGCCACCAACTTGGAGCTAGCGGCGGTGGACTCGCGCCTCATGCGGCTTGCGGGGCCGGGCGCCACCAAGCTTTCTCTTGCGGCGCACTCCGCGGGCGAGCCCTGGGCGTCTGTGTTGGACTTCGACTCCAAGTCCACGTGGGGCCGCACGTACGACTTGGTCACGTTGCTCGTTGCCTTGGTGGGCTGGGACCAGTTGGTCCACATCAAAAACGCCACGTTCCGGGCCTCGGCAACCGCGGGCGAGGACGACTTTGTCGTGGATCACCTGAAGCTAGGCGCGCTGTACGCCCGCCAGTGGCTCCAGCTGTTGTTTCTAGTCGTCTACGAGGATCTCAAGGTCATGGTGCAGATGTCCAGCCTGGACCAGGACCGCAGCGCCCTCTCGTGGGCCCTGATTGGCTTCATTGGCTGGGCTTGCAAGTTCAACTTGAAGGACACGCTCTCGGCATTCCACACCAGCATGTCTGGTCTGTCCGCCGAGGCGGGCTTTGACTACTATGGCACGGTGAAGATGCTCGAGATCTACAATGAGTTTGTGCTCAGCGACGTGTGCGCGTCCACCATCGACCCTCTCTCTAGCATCTACGACGGGCGCCAATACACGAACAAGCTAATCGTCCAGAACGCCTCGCCTGAAATACAGCGGGGGTTCGTGAAGCAGCTCCAGGCAGGAATCTTCTCTTTGGACAACGTGCTACTCAGCTTGTCGAAGCTCGTGAGCTGGAACGTCAGATGGTACAACTATATGCCCAGCTCGTTGGTTACGGAGACATTGATAAAACTATGTGCGGAGTACGACGCGCTCGTGGTGCGGTCGCGGCTCCAGATCTTGATGAAGTCGCTCACCAAGAAAGATAGCAAGCCATCGGCGACATATACGCTCCGAGCCATGTTTGCGGCACCCCCGGACGACCCCAGAACGCCCCACGAGTTTGTCGAGGGCGACACGATCATGGTATACATGGCGCAGCTCCTCTCATGGATTGAGCTGCTTGCCGAAACAAAATAAAATACTTTGCATGCCGCTTACTGGCTCTTCTTGTGAGAAGAGACCTTCTCCGAGCCGAGAACCTTCTTCCTTTGCTTGATCATGTACGTGTACAAGTTGTACAAGCCAGGAGGATAGGTGAAGAGAATGGCCACGAGAAGCCAAGAGTACCAAGGCCCGACAACCGCCTTTGCTTGCCCGAGACTCTTATAAATCATGGTCATCTCGGAGGCCACGCCGGTGGGGTACAACACATAGAACAACGAGTATCTCAACCACGTGAGCCAGTATGGCACCGAGCCGGCATCTTTCAAATTGGCTGCATAGTACGAGTATCTCACCACCTCGGTGATGGACCACGAGAGAGTCAATGTCACGTACGCCCAGTGGTAGTTGGCAGGCGAATCAGGAAGGAGCTGGACGATACCAAGCACAATCAAAAGACGCGAGAACACCTGCGAAACCGTGGTGAAAACGGGGGACTTGACTACCCCCGTCACGGAGTTCACGATCTCGACCACCGCGCAACACTGGATAATCGTGAGAATTAAGCTGGACTTGTCGAAAAGATGGGGTTGGCCCAACAAAGCACCCAAAAACACGGTGTTGAAAAACACAATCGACCACAACGAGGCGGAGATCGAGTTGTAGGCAATGAGCCATTTTTTGGGGTGTGCCGAAGGCGACGCTGTTCCAGGCATATTATTCCTATCGCAATGGGAGCCCTGATTGATTACGAACGATCGTCTGAAAGCTCGAGGCAGAGGGTATGCCGAGGATGAGTATTGAGCCGGCCATTATACACGACAGGTCGCGCAAATGTCGTGCGACTACAGCAAGGCTCGACAGAAGCACGGTATTATGGCGTTATGCTCCCGGAATTGCCGGCGGTATAAATCATCCTTCTAGGGCTGTCTCTGTGATTTTTCAAGTCGTGGACTCATAGTACAAACCCGAGTGTCTTATTGGATTGGTTTCTCAGCGGCGCCTCGATTCAAGGTATTCATAAGATGCGAAACGAAACCATCCGTGAAATTGCCCACGACAGTGGGGAGTCAATTTTGTCATTCAACAATGCACATGCTTCTTTTTGCTAGAGCTCGAAGGCGTCTTGGTGCTGCAATGCTTCGCTTTCCAAGAATGTCGCGGGCCGTAGATCAAGACATGGTTTCGGCTGCTCTTTCTACGCATGCATTAGAGCTATATACATGTTAATGGCACCCGCCCCGAGCCCGGGCCGTATCATCCCCGGATGGTGCATTGCTTGAAGCGCAAGGGCATGGTCACGTGCCGCGTCACTCGGACTTGGCCACAAGGTACTTCTTCCGCTGTTTCCACATGTACAGGTAGAGAAACACAAAGCCTGGCACATACATCAACATGCCAAGCGCCAAGAAGTAGTAGTAGCCACCCGAAACATGTCCCAACGTCTTGTACACCACCACGGGCTCACTCAAGAGTCCAAGCGGATACAACACTATAAAAGACAGGTAGCGGAGCCAGAGCAAAACCCGCGGAACGTGTCTGTTTTGCTTGGCCGCATAGAACGAATAGCGGATGATTTCCGTGATGGACCACGCTGCGACAAGCGCCGAGTATGCCATGCTGTAGTTTCCCGGCGATGCGGGCACGTAGTAAGAGATTCCTAGAGTGATCACAAGACGGGCAAAAAACTGGAGAAGAAGCGAGCCCAAAGGCGAGGGAACAATGCCCACGAGGGCATGTGCAATTTCAAAGATGGCATTGGCCGTTTGCACCTCGGTCAACAACTTGTGAGGAAAAGCAGAGTATCCGACATGGTAGAGCTGGCCCGGGATACGGTCGATAATGTCTTTAAAAAGAATAACAGCCCATGCTAATGCTGAGAGCACATTGTACGTTTTGAGATACAAGCTGAGCATTTGTGTGGATTGGGACAGTCTGGCCGGGGCAGGTAAGCGGTGCCCGAACATGTTGGAATCACGTGGCCGGTCACGTGCCGTCCCGCTAACGCCAGCGGCCAGTCTGCACCAAGATGGGTGGATTTTGTGGAAATGATATCTGATGATCAAACATTCAAACATGGTCGGTCTCATCCAATTTTTTTGGATATTTGAGTGAAATTCGGTTTTTCGCTAGAGTAATGAATCATGTTATAGACACCTCAACTGCGTCAGAAGCCCGGGGCGATTGATATTCCAAATATAAATAGAGAACGGGCGGGGAAATAATACTATATTCAATAAATCTCGATTACATATTTAGATGTGTTTGGGGCGTAAGTTCGAGACTGTTGGCTCAAAGGCACGTTACTGTTTCTACATCTAATAGCGTGCGAGATTAGTCTTTTGCACCCAACGCAAATCTAGCCTTTAATAGCAGTATTGCCTCCGAGCTCAGGATTTGGTAGTTGCAGTCGTTCCGGTCTTCAGAAGGATGAGCAAGCTGTTGTGTTTCTCGAATTTTGGGGCAATAGAAGTGGAGACTATGCTTGGGGATATTCGATTCTGGCCCGCTGTATTTTGCTTCGGGCCTTTCGATTTTGGCCCCGCTGTTTTTGCTTGCTGGGCAATTTCAGTGCATGCTGCTGGTGTAATTTTCTTTTGTTTGATTGATGCATGTTGCCTCCTGATTTTTTGGACTCATGGCTTGTAAGGATGTCACAGGTCGTGTTCGCTCTTGGTGGATTTGGTTGTCGTTCCGCCCCGATTTCTGTGTTCGGCGTAGTTTTTCCTGACTTGGGAATGATCAAATATTCACTTTTTTTCTTGCTTTCAGATTAGATCGTCTGGGATGACTCCGAATCATTGGGGGTGATCAGAGGGGATGAGGATTCCCTAGAGGAACCGTGGGTTGGCGCCTACTTTTCGTTCGAAAAGGCCGGTGAAAATCGATGTGGCTGGAATCGCCTGCAAAATGACTGGGTGGCTCTAAGTAATAAGGATGGGAGACAGGAGAACACCAGGGATTGTGTGCATGAACGTGTCTGTCCAGCCGTCCAAATAAACAAGCGTCCTTGAATCATTCCTGTCTTTTTCCCGTGGAGTGATTTTATACCTCATGATCAATTGATGGCTTTACTGTCGAAAGAATTAAAGAGGAAAGATCCTTAGACGCAAGAAATAGTGCTTTTAAATGAAAGCTGTTAATTCTTTGAACAAACCAAATAGATCAAAAAACCCAGGAAATGATAGTATATCACTTTTTTGAGTAAAGCCTGGTCTTGCAGGGCTTTTCTGACTGGAAGAAAGAAATGGATGTGCGTTTGTCTGCGTATGCCCTTGAGTTCTTTGGAAGGACCGTCGCCTCTGAGACTTTGCTGATTGAAGCCGCTTCCTGCCCCAACTCCTGTTATTGGATGGCGAAAATTATTCTTGTCCTTGGGAAAATGGCCTTTTTTTGGGAATCTTTGCTTCATGCTGGAGGGAACCCTTTACCGGACTGTTTAGCAGGCAATACCACCAATGACGACGAGTTTTAGCAAAAGTCATTGATTGGGAAACTGCCATACTGGTATATCCAGGACAAACATATGTAGTCAGGCCAAGTACAGGTATTCACCAAGTATACGTATTCAGGCGAAAGCATACGTATTCAGGCGAAAGCATACGTATTCAGGCGAAAGCATACGCTTTCAGGCCAAGGACATGTTTTCAGGCTAAGTATACATCTTCAGGATCTGTATACGTCTTCAGGATAAGTACACGTCTCCAGGCTAAGTATACGTCTTCAGGATCAGTATACGTCTTCAGGATAAGAATACGTCTTCAAAATAAGCATACGTCTACTTCAATCTTTTGTGGCTAATGAGATCCACAACTAAGCTATGGTCAAAAAAGGGTTTGAAAGTAGCTGTCGGTATAGCTTTGTTGCAAAAAACCTTAATGTTTTGACCGGTGAAATGCATCTCTCGCTATTGACACGGTCTCATACACCAGACCCAAACATGCGCTTTCACGAAATGAGCTAGAAAACCAAGTTCTGCTATCATAGGACTTCTCGAACCAGTAACAACAAAACCGCAAGTAGCCGCTCTGAGAAATTTGCATGCTGCAGATCTTTGTCATTGCGTCTTTCAAGAAATTCATTGCAGACTCGATCCACTATAACGCAGTGGAAAGCCGACTCCCGATATACGATCGAGCGACATGACAAACTCTTTCCGATTCAAGTCGCGTTTAACTCGATCGTTGGAGGTGTTGGAAAGTGACACATTTTCTGTGGCCTTTGTGTATACTTCGCTGCATGGCGTACGGTTCAAACTTTGTAATTTTGAAGATCACTGTGGTTTTCTCTGAGGCACCGACGGGCACATCAAAAGTTTGTCATCATAGCTTGAATTCTGCTAGTCCGTGTTGGGCCCGTAGCAGAGACAATGAAGTATCATCTTTTGGGGGAGCTTATGGCCGAGTCGCCGAAGTTTTCATTGTAAAACTAATAGGCTCCACGAGTCCTTCTTTTTCGGGTATCCAAAGTGGTCTCCGGAGCAGCCAGGGTGTCGTCAGAAATGGACCCCACAACCAGCCATTCCAACCGGCCTCTGCCTTCCTGTCAATGTCTCGCATATATCCAAGAAACACCAAATTAGACCTGCCACCATCAATTGATTTGCGGGAAACTCGGGGGGCTTCAAGAAATGCCCAGACTCGCGTACTGTGTCCTACTTCGAAAGTTGGGCCACCTGTAGCCAAAAAGTATGTGTGGCCAAATCCAGACAGCAAGCGTCCACGGCCATATCTCCGTCCAGCTTGTAGAAACCCTCTTGAAACCAGCTGGCTTTTCTGCCCCCTCACCTAGATTGCTCGTCACACGCCATTTCGGGCCACCACGGCCTTTTGTCAGGTATGTCAAAAAACAAGAGAGCTGGCACGTGTCCAGCTGTCCCCTACGTTAGGGCGGCCTGCGCCCGGTTCTCCATGGTCTTATATTCGTTATTTCGTTGCCCCGCACAGGGGTTCTCTAGCAAGGTAGGGCTCATGCCGGACTCAAGTGCTCGTCACTCTGCTCCTGGCGGTACTTGGCCAAAATCACGTCCAAGCCTTCCTCGTCACAGGCAATGAGATTCTGGTCCCAGTCTACAAGCAAGGGCGCGCGGAACACAAGCGAGGGGTCAAAGTCAGGCTCTTTCTGAGCCACGAGCTCCGTGTAGGCCTCGTGGATTTTGTCGTACTCGTTCTGCGAAAACACACGGAAGCCCCTCTCGTTGTGCATACCCAAGGCCTTGAACGTCACACACGCGTCCTTGGACTTGGTCAATTTGTCGTTCAAAAGCGGGAACACAGTCTTCAACACTTGCTTGCTCTCCTCGGAGTGCACACAGTGGGAGTGGATGTCCTTGAACTGTTGGTACGTGGGCATGGCCTTGGCCATCAAGTCGATCTGGAAGAGGTTTTTGTCCTCGTTCAATTTGAAGTACGCCCTTTCCAAATTTGCGTACACGCGGGCCAGTGTGGGCACGTGAGCATTGTGGAATATGGAGATGGTGGCGGGTGTGTTCTGTAGCGATCTAAAGAACGACATGTCAATGTGCTGGCGCTCCGGGTGAAGGGAGGGATTTGGTGAATAGGCTTGTGTGGTCCTCGACGGCGGTCTGTACCAAGAAATATAAATATGAGGATATGCTCGTTTAAATAAGAAAAGTGGCTTGAAAAGAGTGTTATTCTTGAACTTAAAAAGGGAAACGGCGGTAGGAAAAGGGAGTTGGGGGTGGCCTGATATATGTGCGTTTGCGTGGACTTCAAACCCCGGATTGCGACCCCTCGGCTCGGCAGGAAGGATGATTCAAATGTCGCCGCGGCCCGCGACATGCACCATCTCCGATCATCCGCACGTGTGACGCTTGCACAACCCCGGGTACCCCAGGTCACCCCGGGCTGAGATCATGAAATGCCATTGCGGACAGTGTCCGTCATTGAACATGGATGGAATATTAATTCTAAGTACAAGTTTGAAACAAAAAAACATTCATGAGTGAAGAGAAGAAAATTTGCTATGGATTCTTGTGGTCATGCCCCGGAGAAGCATTTATAAACCAGCAGACGGGTGCGCAGGCGGTGGCGCGACATTTGTGCGAGAGAGTCTCGGGGATTGACTTCCTTGTCGCGCATGGGCTCGGACTTGCCTGCCGTGCAGGGCCGTGAGTCTGATTGCGACATTCTCCAGTTTTTCCGGCATGCGGTGGGGCTCTCCAGCGCCACTGAGAATAAAGGCGATGTGAGGTGCATTCATTAGAGATATTGAAATGGGAGAAGCCATCAGTCTATGTAGCACGCGTCGCATGATTCCTGAAACAAACCATTGGTTTATGTAACATGCGTCGCGTAATGCCTGCGTCTTTTTAGTTTTCAAATAGTGGTGGTATGTGAGAAATAAACTCAATTTTCAACATTAGCAGACAGCCGCGAGTAGATAAGGCTTCGGAAACGAGTTCCCAAATCCAATAAGATCTTTGATAGGCAAAATCAGGTGTAGGCTTTATTTAGTCACTAGTCAATATGTGATCCCCCAATCTGAATCTGGGTATTTGCTAGATCTGCCAGTGTCAATTCCATTTTATCGCCATGCCACGTTGCTTAAGTGCTTGAAAGTCAAATAGATCACATTTTCTCGAAAGTCACGGGGTAGATTCACAATTTGATGCTATCTGAGGATCAACACCAACTACAAGAGTAACACAGTACTGGCCGTCGCAGAAAATTACCTTTACAAGAATGTACGGTTCTTCCCTGGGAATCAGTTTTTTCGACATTCAGATTTGGGGTTTCGTCCCGTAGAGCCAAATCATCTTGAATAGAAGTAGTTGACTGCTGCACATAGTATAGCAGAGATTTGCTACGAGTGTCATAATTGAGCATTGAATCCATTGAAGCCTTCGATTAGCACATGGAAGTGTATCGGAGTATTCTGGGAATATATGGGAGTATTCTGGGAATATATGGGAGTATTCTGGGAATATATGGGAGTATTCTAGAATGTATAACATCAGGGCTGGTTAATTCGACGTTCACCCACCCATATGCTTCACTGGCTTTTTTCATTACAGCTGGAAAACAAGTCTGATGGATGGAGCCGTGTGAAAGTGACTGAAACGGTGTACTTTTGTGATTTTTTCTTTTTTTTATTTTCTTTTGTTTCCAGAATCCATGACCGGGGGCTGTGAACTCAGCTCAATTGCCAATCATCCATGCGTGGAATTGAATATGTAGGGCAGGCTGGTCAAAGCCAGTGGTCATTTATATCGACCAGTATGTGACTGAAAAGCCGAGGCCCACTTAGATACATCGGTGTGGTTTTGTATACAGCGGCGAAAAGCACAAGACACTAGGCGTTGGTTTGACGGCAAGTGTCTAGCTAAAGTCTTTTTTTGAACCAAAAAACAGTCTTTTAGACTCAGCTGGGCTTTGTTCTCTAACGACAGCTTGGAACAACAGGAAAGACACGCAGTGAGTACATAGACAAGATCCTCTCCATATGTGATAAATGGACTTGTCTGGTTGGAACGTTTCAACGGCATAAACAGCATGTAATACAAGCAAACCGGTTATTTCTGAGCGTCGCGTGGAATCTTGGACCCATCCACAACATATTGGCTATTGGACTTGCAGATGCTACCACGACATCCGGGTGCCCTGATGCAAACAGTCGGACCATATTTCACGAACGCCACATACAAGGTGAGGAAGTCTTGCAAATCGCGTCAACATAATCCGAGCCGAGCCCAGTGAAATAAGGAAAAAGCATAGTATGATAATGAGAGAAGAAACTGCCGCATGGACCCAGCACTGGTGGCATCATGTTCATCCACCAAAGCGTTCCTCGTATATCTGCTTGGTTCATAGGCACTACTACATGGAATGCTGGATTGAAAAGAGGAGTAAAAACATCAGTATAGATCCACAGAAACAACAATATAGATCCACAGGAAAAATTAAACATCTGATTCCCTGATCCTAGACTGTATCAAAACCGCCCCGAAAATAGGGAGTTCCAATGAAGGGCTCCAAGCTCAGTTTGGAAATCCCCCAAATCGGGCTTGTAAGTGACCTGGATCGAATATGTGTAAATGCGTCTGATGGCAAATCTTCCGGGATTCGAAGCAATCTACAGTCGTTGGTAAAACCTGGGCCTAGCCGACTGCGCTATTACAAGAAACCAGTGATCTTTTTTTAGAAATCAACCTGAGTGCACCCGGGACCATCTTCCTTGATGGATACGAAAGCAGAATAAGGTCTGGGTTGTTGGCAGCTTCTAAGTATATATTCTTATCGCATATGAAAAATTGGAGGTCTAGTATATATCGGCATGTCCACGATCTATTTCTATGCGAGTTGTCGGGTTCAAGTCAAGGCCAACCTTGGTCGCGATGTAACTTCAATAAAAGAGAGGACGTGGTGCATGCCGTGACATATCTATGTAAAGTACATCTTCGTCATATTTATCGAGATTGGCAAAATCAAACTGCAAGCTCTTCACTTTCGAAGCGCCTCGTTCCTTAAATGCCCCCAAGTTATAGAGATGGCGGGGCCGGAAGTGAATTAAACTTACTAGAACTAAGACACCAACTTATTAAATTTTATAGTTTTGACTTACTAGAATATCAAAACTCAAGTTCTTTAAGACTTTCGAACATCGAGTGACTCGAATATTAGAGCTCAAACATACTAATAAAACCTATTGAATTTCTTGAACATCGACTAGTTAAAATATTGGAACTACGATTTTCCAGCATTCTGGAACACAGATTGACTAGAATTTTACAACGCAGACTCACTGGAATTCAGAGCATCAACTTACAAGATTATTGGAGCACAGACTAACTAGAATATTAAAACACGTACTCACTAAAATATTAGAGCACTAACTTACTGGAAGTCTTGAACATCGAGTGCCTAGGGTATTCGAGCTACGACTCATTAGGATAATAAATCGTAAACTTTCCACATTCTCACAACACAACCATTCACAATCCCAGAGCACAGAAATTCCGCAATCCTAGAGCACAAGCTTAGCAATTCTAAAAGAGGATTTGCTTCTTGGAGAACTTGAGCAAAGCCTAGGGAACGGTTTTTACAGAATTGTCGCCAAATCCTTGAAGTCGGCCGTGTCATCGAATGGCCCTGTCCAAGGCTACAACAAATCACAAACTAGAAATACCGAAAAACTCTACCACGGTTCCACAAACGACATTACCCAATTTCAACAGGAGAGCCCTAGACCCTTTACAATTCTTCAGATAGTGCTCACCACAAGTGCACAAAAAAAATTATATAACTTTAAACGTTTACCCCAACAATTCCAAGAAGAAAAGGACCATAGATCTACAGAAAACAAACAAATTCGGTACTATAAAATAAACGATAACTGATTTAATGAGCCATTCGCGGTTTCACTGTATATATTGTTTATACTTAGACAGGCATGGCTTAATCTTTGAGGCAGGCATATGACTACTGGCAGGATCAACAAGATAACTACAGAAACTAAATTTTGTTGGATTGGAGCTGAAAGAGTCCACAGATTTCTCTTCCTGTTCTGATGGGTATCAGGGTTTGATACTTGGTCAGAACAGTTGGAGGGGGTCTGAGATTCCCCCGTTGATTTGAAAATTATTTTGCTAGAAGATAGCCAAACCCATCATTGCTTGCCCCGACGCTCATTGGCACAAGACTGAAGGATTCTTTAAGTCCATGCCGACTGGTCGAAACCAAAACCAACGCAGGCTCAGAGGCCAAAGAGATACTATAGACAAAAAGTAGAATAAGAGAGATTGAGACAAGAAGAAAAAGAGAAAGATTGAAGCAGGTGGATTTAGTGACTCTACAGAGAACAAACAAATTCACCATAGCTCTACAGAAATGAAACAAACTTACCACAACTCTTCAAACAACAAATTCACCATAGCTCTACAGAAATCAAACAAGCTTACCACTACTCTGCAGAAGCCAAACAAATATGCCATAGCTCTACAAAACATCACAGAAAAATTCAATAATTTAAGAATTCACCAAAACAATTCTTCAGACAAAAGTACCATAGCTCTACAGAAAACCAACAAATTTTCCATGGTTCTACAAAAAGCAAAAAGAATAACCATATCTCTACTCACTTGCCACAACTCTACAAACAACAAATTCAACATAGCCTTACATAAATCATACAAACTTACCACAGCTCTACAAACAAACAAATGTGCCACGGCTTCACAAAAAACCACAGAAAAATTAAACAACTTTGAAAATTCCACCAAGACCATTCTACAGACAAAAGTACCATAGCTCTACAGAAAACCAACCAACTTTCCATGGTTCTACAAAAAACAAACAAAATTACCATAGCTTTACAGAAATCATACAAACTTACCACAGCTCTACAAGATTAACAAATTTGCCATGGCTCCGCAAAAAACCACAGAGAATTACACCGCGGTCCTGCAGGCAACATCACCAGGATCGCACAACGTCAACTTATCCAAGAACACATCTCTTCGCGCCAAATGCCACATCGCCTGACCACAGTGCCTGTATGCAGAACCGTCTATTGTCGGCTCTCCCCTCAAAGCATTTCTTCCAGCCACACTCTGAATACCCAAACCCAGCACTGCCGTTGCCCTACACTGGTGCGTTTCCAGCTGCAAGCACAAAAAAAAGTAAAAAAAAGGCCCACACTCATTGCCGGCACCCAGGACCCAGCGCCACGAGGCCGCACACCCGTGCCTCCCGCCGTGCTCTGCGCGCCCCAGCCGCCGCCTACAAAAACACCAAAAAAATTTTCTTCGTCTCTTTCTTCCAAAACCAACCCCTGTAAAATGTTCCCTAAATCCTGTTACAAGTGCGGCGAAACCGGCCACATTGCCGACGACTGCCAGCAAACCGAGAGATTGTGCTACAACTGCCGCCAGTCCGGCCACGAGTCGTCCGCCTGCCCTGAGCCTAAAACTGCCGCCACCAAGCAGTGCTACTCCTGTGGCGAGACCGGTCACGTGCAAGGCGACTGCCCCAGCAGTGCCCAGGGCGCCAAGTGCTACAACTGTGCCGAATTCGGCCACATTTCGCGCGAGTGCCCCAAGAACGAGGCCGCCGGAAGTGCTCCTGCCAGCACCGGCCCTGCGCCCGCCAGAAGAGCGCGTCTGGCCAAGGGCACCACGTGCTACAAGTGCGGCGGCCCCAACCACTTTGCCAAGGACTGCCAGGCCAGCTCCGTGAAGTGCTACTCGTGCGGCAAGAACGGCCACATTTCCAAGGACTGCGACCAGGCCTCGGACAAGTTTGCCAAGGCGTGCTACAACTGCGGTCAGACTGGCCACATCTCCAAGGACTGCGAGGCTGCCGCCTAGGCGCCTAGTGGTGGAGACCGAGTTGGAAGAAAAATCAAGGAAGTGGGTGTTTTTTCTCGAGTGAAGCTGCGAAGATGCGAGGGGCCGGCGAGCGGTGCCCCTCTTGAAAATTTTCTGTACATTAAACTTAGAACGCTGTAACGACCACGACTCTCTTTGCTGAAATCTCTTCGTTATCAATACAATTAGATCTTTTGCGAACACGCGCATGCAGCCCTGCGGGGGCTTGTAGAAGCCTGGGATCGAACAGATCCGGACTGTGGGTAATTGCGGGTCTTGTCCAATTCCACGGTCTTGTTGAATCCTGGGGCTTTCTGAAATTCAAGCTCTTTTATGGTTCGGGCTTGTATAGTTCATCTGAAAGTTCCATGGTCTTAGTACTGGCTTGTGAAATTCAAGGTATCTCTAAACTTCAAGGTCCAATTCTGGCTTGAAAATTCCAAGGTGTCTCAAAGTTCCAAGGCCTTCTCTATTCTAGCTTTTTCATTCCAAGGTATAACAAAATTCCATGGTCTTGTCGATTCTGGGCCTTGCCCTGGCGAAACAGTCCACAGGTGTTCGATTGCACAGTCCGAAGAACACATGTGCCTTTGGCTGGAACCACTTGCGAAATGTCTCGTATACTTCCTCAACAATTGCCTCTACTTGTCTGCCATGAAAAAAAAAACATGAATGGGATTTGGGTCCCGACGTTTATCTTGTACTAAAATCACCAAAGATCATTGTCTCTGTCCAGAAAATAAAATGGTTTTTATCGCTGATTGTTCTGCATCATTCTTTAATTTGCTGGACCGGCCCTGTTGATTACCATCGTGACTCTGTGAATTCACCCGGGAAAAAAGCTAGCGAAGATGCTTTAATTATTGATTTTAATACTTCATGAAAAAAACAAGCAAATGGACACTCCACTATATATATTAACTGGTATGCTGGACACCCTGGTGGTCACCATAACTACTGCGGTTCAAGTCGCGATTGGGACCCAGCAAAAAAAGATGCGATTTCTGTGGATCGAACACAGGACCTTCAGATCTTCAGTCTGACGCTCTCCCAACTGAGCTAAAGCCGCTTCGATGCTAACAAAGATATATACGCACTATATTCATAAGTTGTTAGAGGCTGTAAAATCGATGTAATATATCTATATATTCCAATCGTTTTCATCATCACTACACCAAATTCGTCTCTTTATCCCTGCCCTAATTCAAGGCGATACATTTGAATTCCATCTGTCCAGGCCATGACTAACAGAAGAGGACGGGCCAAGCTAAGACACTTGGTACGTAGCTGGGAGCTGTTTGAAGGTTTTTTATATATGTTATTTATATAGTTTTGGCTCTTTAATCAGATGAATCTACAAAAACAAGACCTTCTTTGCACACACCAGATCTATAACAACGGAGACGCCCCAGACGCTTTCTTTGTGCATATCTACAGCAACAGTAAAACATTCAAGTCCTGCTGGCAAGGACTGGGACTTTCCAAGCCCATAAAGTTTTATGATTTCTTGGCTCCGGCAGACATCTCTTTGCAGTAGTCAACATATTAAAATGGTCCGTTCCCACCATCTTCAAGGCATACACAAGAAGCCCTTGGCGAGTCGCAGGAATTGAGCTCCTTAAACTCTCTACATCCATCGGAGTTAAAGCGACTACTAGCAGAGACTCATTCCGGGAATTGATGATTTAATCCAATACGTAAACAGAAACAGCAAAGAGAAGCGTCCAGGCCATGATTGGCAGAAGGGGCCGGGCTGGGCTTCGTCGCTTGGTACAAATCTGGGAGCGCTTTGAAGGTCTCTTTTACATAATATTGTATGGTTTTTCTTCTTCAACCAGGCGAATCTACCAAAAGAAAACCCACAAACAGGTTTCATAAGTGTGATGTTGTTGCTGACTTGGCGGTGATATTCATGCGTCATGATTTAGCAAAACAAAATATTTAGAAGGAACCAATGCGGCGGTTATAGATGAGAAAACACTCTTGACACATGAAAATCACATCTACAACTGCTGCTCTTTGATTACCCATGAAATGACAAAAGTGTCTGCTGAAGTCTTTTGCACTATCCCAATTGTGGTAGATATGGTTTCTAATTTTTTCCCCAAATCAAAAAATGCTTTTCCAAAGATACTGCTGGCATATTCTTGAAAACGACAATCGATCTCCGGCACACAATCAAGATTAAATGACTGAATTCTAATCCACCAGGTGATATTTTAGAGCACATCCTTCTGAATAATAGCCCAATGAACCCACGTGATCGTCTCAGTGGACTATAATTTCACTCATGCCTGATTAATATGAGTTTTTTTTTGAGCTCAATGACATACCTAGTGTGGGACAATAATTGGGTCATTCCAGAATCGCATGTCTCGATATATCCATAAATTTCCATGCATGGCTATACCAAAAAGGATGAAGCGGTGACACTGATGAAAACCCTAAGCAATTTAAAATGGGCTTTGGGGCTGTGATTTCAAGCTTGTCTCTTAGTACTGCGATATAATCTTCTCTAGCGCATGCCCCAGTGTTGCCGTTCTGAACTATGGTTGACATTCACAATATTCGTTCTTGAACAATTTCTTTATCAAATATATCAGGCCAACTCCTGAAATACGGCACTATCAAAAGGACTTGTACATAGCAGTACCATCGTTTGCTCTCTACTCCGTGAGTACTGATCCAGATCTGTCTGTGAATATAAGCAGATTATTCAGGACATTCCATGACACACAACACCGAGGAATAAGCAGAACCACAGAAAATTTTCCAAACATCAATCACAGAATTCAGGAACCTATCGAACCCAACCCCCTATCTCAATTAAATTCCCCGTCAAAAGGACAAATTTCCAAAATCGATACCTGGTGTGACGTTACCACGTGCAAACGCGTTGCCCATTTGTGTCTCGACTCATTTTATAAAAATATATACTTTAAACGAGATCAACTCGATCGATGAACGAAAATTGCAAAAAGTTTGTGACATATAAAGACGTAAACACCCGGGGCCACACTTTATTCAGTGTGTAAAAAATATTGACTCCGGCGTGATTCGAACACGCGCATCTTACGATAACAGAACTTGAGTCTGCCGCCTTAGACCGCTCGGCCACAGAGCCTTTGTATGATTTTGTGTTATGATACGACATCAGCAAGATTATAGATTCTTGGCATCCTGTATAATACGAAGGACGAAGAGTCTAAACATTCCTGATCGGGGTTACCCCTCACCTACTGTATAGAAGGGTTCCGAACTATAAAGGAGCGTGAGGCTGAGACATCCCTGAAGAAGGATAACACTTTTGAGACATCGAGAATACGACAGATAGACTAGGCCTATCCACTAAGGCTGAACTATCTATAAACCGATCTACTCGTAGTTTAAGAGACAGCTCCAGGCTGTTTCATAATATTCGGTATGAAATTCCGGTGTAGTGTAACGGCTATCACGGTTCGCTTTCACCGAGCAAACCCGGGTTCGACTCCCGGCACCGGAGAATTGTTTTTACATCGTCAAACATGTCAGACTTCCTGTGTGTAATTTTGACCGAATTTTTTATGCACCGGCATCACGCCTCGTGCACACAATAATACCTCGTGTCATGCGTATAAATAAGTTGACAAGCAAGCAAAGTCTC